TCCCTTGCTGAGCGAATTTAAGACCTCCAGGGCAACAGTTTCATGAAATCTGTTATTTGCAAACCAGGCAAAGGAAGGCAGCGGATCCCAATTTAGCAAACTCCCAAATTTCTTCAAGGAATTATTAAAATATAAGACAATAACTGTTTTTATTCCTTTAAATAACAAGTTGAATAATGCACATTTTAAACAACTAGGAATAGTAAAGGGAGAGGAAACAGTGGTCTTGGCCAGGAATAAAGAACACACCCCAACAGTGTGAGGAGTTTGAAGAAGCTTCTTGCTAGGGCATGGCTTAAGGGAATCAACAGAAATGGTACAGTTTCCAAGTGCAGTCCTGTTTCCATACTCTGGCTTGCATGGTGGGGGGCAGAGTAGAGAGAACACTCCTAGAGCCCAGGGGTGCACAGAAGAGGGCTTTCTACTGGAAAAGCCAAACGTCAGCAACCTGGGAGAGAGGCAGCCAGGGAAATCATCTGACCAGCTGACAATGTGCACCCACAGACACAGACCCAGCCTGCGGGGAAAGAGATCATGCCCCATGCTGGTTAGGAAGGAGGAGTCCAGCCAGGCTCACTGGTCTAGGGAGTCATACCTCCCTGACTCCACTGTGACTGTGGCTTCTCATCCAGTCTTGATTCTTCCTGCCTTAGTCTCCCCCTGTGCTAAACTTCATCCAATAATGCATGGCGTCACCAAGCAGGGGTGGAGTGGAGAAGTTTGTTTAAACTCTTTACTAGGTTTAAAGTTTAAATGGCTTGTTTTTAGCACCGGTAGCACACATGTAAAACTAACCAGGTTGTCAAAATAGCCATGTCAACAAAATGCATCTAAACATTATGAACACGCATGACTTTATTCCTCTGAGTTTCCTCCTCTGCAAAATGGAGAAATGAATAGTTGATGGTTCTGACTTGGTGTAAGGAACAGAGGTAATATACGTAAGAGTGCCCGACAAATAACAGGTGCTGGGTGGATAGTGGTTATGTTTGTCCTGACTGCCAAGTAGTGACTTCAGCAGACCACTTGATTGAAGAGTGAGGGGCTTTGCAGTAAGGCCAGCTAGAGACTGCATTGGTTCTCAGCGGGTTCATTTGGAGGGATGCTGACCTAAGTAGCTCGACCTTGGAACCCAGACAGGGACACAGTAAACTTGGTTCCCCAGCCCTGATCATGAGAATGTGCATAACATATGATATCTATTTCATAGCAAATTCATTCTTCCTTCTGTTAATTTGGGGGGAGGACAAGGGAAAGGGTTCGTCAACTATACATTAAAAGCCAAAGAGCACACAAGTCACACCAAGAAGCTTCGATGCCAATTTTCTGTCCATTTTAATCTTTCAAAGCCCAAAGGGAGGGCCTCCCCGGTGGCGCAGCGGTTTAGCGCTGGGTTGCGAAGCTGCCCGCGGCCTCTGCGGCGCCGGTTCGATCCCCGGCTGCTCTCCGGCCACCGGAGGAGGGTCCCACATGGCGTGCAGACCTCTCCTGCCGCCCGCTGCTCCCCTCAGCAGTGTACTTCGGTCCTTCTGCCTGCTCTGCTCCCCGCTCTGGCTCCGGTGAATTCACCCTCCTGCCCTTCTGACTGTACCCAGTACATGTATAAACAAACAAATAAATAAATAAATAAAACGTGCCTCTATTAAAAAAAAAAAAAAACTTAGAAACTTTAAAAAAAAAAAAAGCCCAAAGGGAATGGGATGAGGCTGGTGGAGGGGTGAGTTTTAATGCAGTTTTTTTTGCTCTTGACAAACAGGTGGTATCTCAACAGCCTTCTGGCCCTCTCCCAACCTTACATCTTCCCTTTGCAATTTAAAATGGCACTGTCTGCTATTCAACCTGATGAAAGTTACAGCAAGTCAGAGAGTTAATGACAGTAGATTACTTTAAATTGAAAAACCCATGGATGTCAGGGAGCCACCTTGACAGCTGAGTGCTTCCCTCGGAATAACCTAAGTAATTAAGTCTAATATTTAAGCCAAGCATAAGACCAGACAGAACATATCCAGATAGCACTTTCTGGAAACCCAAAGAAGCACAAAGCTGTGCTATATGTTCTTTTATGAGGTGTAGAATTGCGCATAAAGAAAAGGAAGTGATCCCAGAAAAGCCTCACCTTCTTTTACTTTGCCACCAGAACAAATCCATCCCTCTATCTGCAAACATGTATTGAACTCCTGTGTGCTAGTTTATGGAGAATACTAAGCTTAACAAATGGTCTCTCCTCCTTCCTGGAGTGAAGACCTATGCATGCAGGAGAAAACATCTTTGGTAAATAATTAGTACATGCAAGATTACAGTTGGTGCACCCTCCTCTTGGACCCATCTTGAAAAAGCAGGAGCTATTCTAACTGTAAGACTCCTATCATTCCAATGTAAATGTTCTTTATTATTTATATATGCTATACAACTGAAGACTTTTTTGGAGGACTTGAAAAATACATGGTTCTGGAATTTTCTGCTTTGCAATATGCTGGATTAACCAGTTTTTATAGTATTGTATTTTTTCTCTCTGACAACTGAAGTTCTAAGTTTAAGTGGGAAAATGTGAATATGGTTTATACAAACCACTGGGCTGCCCTTAAAACAGACTACCAAAGAAATGTCAGTAATTGTCTTCTTTAAATGTCAATGGTATTTGAAAATCAGGTTGCTGGGTGGGCAGGCTAGAGACCTCAATTCTCCAGTCTTGTTTTCACTTCATAATATCCTCACAATGTTAGGGCTCCTTCTCTGCTGCTCTCTGCTTACTCTAAGGACAGAAGTTTGAATGATACAGGGAAACTAATTCCAGCAAGTGCTCACTTCACCCTTGCTAATTAATGACCAATTAAACAAATCTCACAGAACAAGGGTCTCCTCTTTTATACACCAAAGATGATCAGACATAAATTAGACCTAAGGCCATATACTGTTAGTAGTTGGTGTTTTTCATCCTGGTTAAATTCAATGAACTCATGATTATTTATGAAATGTTATTTACTATGCAACTGAAAGGTATGAACGGCCTTTAAGTTGATTAGGACTATTATTTAGACAGTCTTCCTTCCACATTTCTAGATTTCCATACACTAAAATCTTGGGGGAATCACATGATACGGGGCCTCCCCCTTAGTTATTCCCTGAACTACCATGCTTCTTTAGAACCTCCAGGCTCTAAAGACTCCAGCTTGAAGAAAGTCAAATATGGAGATGTGTGCATATTGCCATCTAGTGGCAATGATGTGAAGTTCACAAACAAGCAGAAAGCCAACAGCAATAAGAATGTGAGAAATTACTCAGAGGTACCCTCAGTTGTATACCGGGATGCTGAAGACAATTCCTCCCCATGAAGCTGCAAGAGTTGGTAGGGTTTCAGCAAGTTTGGGATGAGAAAACATCAGAGGAGAGCCCTGGAGTCCTTACTGGCTGCTTCTCTCATTACTCTGTATAGGTACCATCCTGCAACTTCCAGTCACATGTGAGATTCACCTCTATCCTTCTTCTATCCTCCTATACAATAAGATTTCAGGTGTCATGTTAGTGGTTGAATTGTGTTCCCTACTAAAAATATGTTGAGGTTCTGAGGTCTCAACCCTAAATGGACTAGTTTGGAAACAGGGTCATTGCAGATGATTGGTTGAAATGCAGTCATACTGTAGTATGATGGGTCCCTAAGCCAACATGATCAGTGGCCTTATAAGAAGACAACTACCACATGAAAAGATAGGGACAGGGGAAAATACCCTGGGATGGAAATTCTATAATCAGTCCCCAAAGAATGTTAACTGGAGAAGTCTGATGCAATGCTGGCAACATGCTTAGCTCAGTGAGTGGCGTGCTGAGAGCAGTATCCAAGGAGATCATTCAAGGGTCATTCATGTACTTAAATGCCCAGGGTGCCAACTATGCCATCTTTAAGACTTCACCTGCACTGACACAGTAAATAGTAATAACATCAGTAATCATCACAGTAGTCACAACAGTTTACCCTATGGACTAATATCAGCTTTAATCCTCACATAACTATACAAAATACTAATTACTAACCCATTTTACAGATGGGAAAATTGACACTAAGAACTTTCCCATAGTCTTACTGTTACTTAGAAGGTAGTGAAGATCCTAACTGGATTATCCTAGTCTCCGTTCTTTCTGAACTACCATGCTTCTTTCAGATCTAGTTAGTTCAATCACTTGGGAAAATAATGCTGTCATGAAATATTTCAGCCTCCAAGCCACTCTTTTTCCTGAAAGCTGTCTAGATCCAGTGATATGGGTCCTGTGTCTTCATATGTAGTTTCCCTATGGTTTCCTACCAACATTTTTGAGTGAGGGAGTATTTTCCTCCTTCTGTTTGATCTAGTGTCCTAGAGTTCCCCAATTCCCTTTGAATTGTATTTCTTTTTTTATTTTTAAAATTATTTTTAATCGTATTTTTTATCAAGGTAACATGCAGTAAGTGCTTCATAAATATATATTCAAAGACTGAGTGAGTGTAATCAAAGCCTCCTTATGCTTACTGTGCAGCCATCCTAGGGACTAAGTGAGCTACTAATACACCAGCACTGGGTGCTACTGATGTCAGAAGCTGCTGGCTACATTGCCAGAAGTATTTCTAATGCAGCCCTTTTCCCTTTGGGGGCGACTTTCTAGGGAAAGAAAAGAAAAGTGAGAAAGTGCGAGGGTAATAGCAAAATACACGAGGATTCTTTTTTTTTTCTGTTATTTTATTATTTTAAGTGATTTTCTTTTTTTTTAAATAATAAATTTTATTTTTATGGAAACCGACAAGGGCCTGAGATGAGAAGGGAGGGTCTCAGCTCTCAGCCCCTCTCTTCTGGTCGTCCCCCAGCTCGGCTTGCTCTTCTATCTTCCGGTCCTCTCTCCCCTGCAAGCTCCAGCCTCCCTGAGCTTCCCTCCTCTTCGCTCCCCGCCCACTTCCCCAAAGGGTTCTTTTTCTCGGCCAGTTCAGGGGGTCCGTGAGTCCACCCTACGGGAACCCTCGCGCATTCATCCCGCTCCCTCCCGCTCAACTGTCCCTCACGCGCCTGGGGAGGTGCCGCCTCTGACCCTGCGGGTGAGCCCCTGAGCCCCAGCGCCCACCATGGGGAATGAGGCCAGTTACCCAGCACAGATGTGCTCTCACTTTGACCGCGATGAAGTTAGATGTCTGTGCAAGAAGTTTAAGAAGCTGGACTTGGACCATTCAGGCACAGTGAGCTTGCAGGAATTCATGGCCCTCCCCCAGCTGCAGCACAACCCGTTGGTGCAGCGAGTAGTCGACATCTTTGACATCGACGGCAATGGCGAAGTGGACTTAAAGGAGTTCATCTGGGGTACCTCCCAGTTCAGTGTCAAGGGAGACGAGCAGCAGAAATTGAGGTTTGCTTTCAGCATCTATGACATGGATAAAGACGGCTTCATCTCCAACGGGGAGCTCTTCCAGGTGCTGAAGATGATGGTGGGGACCAACCTGACCGATTGGAATTTACAGCAGCTCGTGGACAAAACCATCATCATCCTGGATAGAGACGGTGATGGGAAAATATCCTTCGAGGAATTCAGTGCCGTGGTCAAACACCTGGAGATCCACAAGAAGATGGCCTTAATTATGTGAATTTTTAAGCATCCACCCACTAACTTCAGCTTGCTTTTCTCTTTCAAGATCAGCTCAAAACACCTAGCAAGTGTCACTCTAACTTAACTGGGAGTATTTCTCTTTGTGAAGCCACATGTTCTCATGTGAATCTCATGAATAACTCAATGTCGTTAAGTAATTTTCCCAATGACTCAGGCTAACCCCCTGGATGGGAGAGCACAAAATGGTGTGTGAGGAAAGTTTTCATCAGTTAATAAACTTATTTTTCTTTATTTTGATTCAGAGATCAAACTATAAAGAGTCAAGAAGAACATGAAGTTCCAAAATATGAAAATATACATCTTTGTCTTGACTTCTCGTGGTTTATGTGGGGGAGTAATTGTACAATTCAAGTTTAAGGTGAATGGTTTTCTTTTACTTGTGTCTTGTCAGGTGTCTGTTGACAAGTTGTTAGCTTTCTGTTGTTAGCAACAAGGAAAGTGTATTTCTCTTGACCAAGCACCTTTTAATCACCTCTTCCTGAGCAACAAAACCCTTCTTTTCCTTTTCTAGTCACAGCCGAGCGCCCACATCTAGAAATCCCTGAGTTTGTCTTGAGGGCTAAGAGTCCCGTCCTGCCACTCCTGTGTCATTGCTCTAGCTCCTGAAGACGAACTGTTCTCAGGGGTCTTGTAAGAAATGCCAGGCCTGGACTAAGTGCCCAGCTAAACAGTCAGCCTCAATGACAGTAAGTTTTGGGGGTTGGCTGCTCCTGCCCCAGTAAGTTCAGTTCGATTTAGTTAAAGGGACTTTCAACCACACAGGGCAGGAAACTCCCCTCCCCCCAATTTTTCTCACCTCCAACACTCAGCCATACCCACTTGGAGGGAATGAGAATGAGTCAGTCATTCTTAGTACTGGGAGGTGGAGGGAGACAGTAAAGACTCTGCCTTCCAGTGAACTCTCCCCAGGATGCTGAAATGGTGGTGTTCCTGGCACTCACAAGATACAGAGCCAGGCAAGCACCTCTGCATTAGCTAAGCTCATATTCAAGGACCTGACTTGGGGCCTCGAATGGAAGCTGAGAGCCCTCTCATCCCAGAAAGCATTTTCTCTAAAATAACCTTCAGCCCAAAATCCCTCACACCCCACTACACCTACACACAAGGAACGAGCTAGAGCTTGTTCTCTCTTGGCAAGCGCCAAGGCATACATCGCTTCCCGGCTCCAAGTTCAGAGACATCATGTCAGTAGCATGAAACTGGATATGGTGGGGATAGTCCATCTTAGCATAGATAAACACTTTTCATTGTTCCTGTTTGAGGGTAGCCTGCGTAGTAGCAGTATGCGCTCTACTGCTGCACCCTGGATGATGCGAACATTTTGAGATCCCTACTGTCAGTTCTCAGAGAACAAGCTTCTCCTCAGAAAAGCTGTGCCAGGAGGGGGCCCATGCCTGCCACTTTACACCAGCCCTTTATTCACAGTGGAACACTCTCCACAGAAGGCGCTTAAGACTCAAAATACCAGAATGGTGAAACATACCCTTCCCACACATACTCAGCCAAGGAATAAAAGTGAAGTGACATGTCATGATAAGAAGATCCTTTTCATGGAAATTTATTGTCCTTATATTTTGAAGAAGCTGGTAGTCTTCACAAAAAAAAAAAAAAAAAGGAAAAATAAGTTCACAAGCATAACTATTGTCAGGTGCCCACCTCCTCACATCACCTTGCCATATGTACTATTACTTAGATTATTTAAGAACCACAAAGAATAAGAATCCCTCTCTGTCTTTTTAATACCTTTGCAGCCCTTTAAATAAGATGTTAATCATCAGTCATGTGAGTAACATGCTTCAAAGACTCAGACACACCTGAGTTTGAACTCAGTTACAAGTGGGTTTTTATCACAGTCACTTCTTACTGGCTGTGTGAGCATAACCAATTACTTGACCTTTCTGTGTCATTCCTCCTGATTAAAATGAGACTCCACCATAACATTATTTCGAAGAATCAAAAGGATAAAACACATCAAGTGCCTAGAGCACTATGGGTTCATTGTACTTCAGCCTCTTCCACTTCTATTAGATCAATATGTAAAGGAGACGGTACTTTTCTTGTTCCTTTTGAATCCTTGCTTGATATTTAACTACACCACGCTAGTGTTAACTGGACATTTGTGTAGTCCTAATCCAGAAAATAAAATCAAGATCCTCTGCATCCCCTCACTTGCAAAGGGTACCATAGATTTCTTAACTGAAGAAAGTTTTAAAGAGAGCATCTCCCACTCTAGTCTAACCTATTTGGCTATGGACGCCACTCTGCATGAGGAAAATGAGGATTAAAGAGAGATTGTTTATATACTATGCAGTGTGCACAATGAAGTATGACGTTTTTTAAATTATGACCCAGGGTTTAAAACATTGAATTCCATGTTCAAATTTAGCAAGAAGAAGAAAAATATTTCAGCTTCAGGAGTGGCTGAAATTAGCAAGCTACTTCATATTACTACCTAAGCCTTTGTGCCAATGACCCCAAATTGATATCCTGTTTCTAGTTTCAGCACTAGAGAAATCTGACTGTATGGATTTGGGGGAAGAAAAATCACACCAGATAGAATGCCGAGGGACTTTTTTCTCTCCATTAATTGTTGGTCGCCAACAAATCTAGTTCTAAACAACTCCTTGGAGTGAAAATAGAAATTAAAATTTATTGAATGACCCCATTTACTGTTATACTTGCTTTACTAATCATCAAAATGGCACTGTGAGGTGGGTGTTTTACATCAGTTTTACAGATGATGCTATAGAGATTTCTGAATCTTCTCCAAGGTCTCCCAGTTGGAGAGTAATAAAGCAAGGACTTGAACTAGGCTTTCTGACCCCAAATGCTGAGCTTTTTTCCAGCTCACTGCATAGTCTTCTATTTTTATGGTTCCTAGACTAACTTGCCTCAAATTATTTCTGATAGCTTTATGTGCGATTGTGATTTATAAAAAGTATTTTTGTCTTCATTCCTATTTCTGGCACAGAGCTCCTGTAATCCTATATTAATGAGGTGGCTTTTACAAAACACCTAAGGATGGCTCTGATTGCCTGGAGAATCAAACATTCCCAACTCCCATTCCCAACTCCCCCATACCTCAGGGGAGGGTAAGACCCTGAAGGTTGGCATAATCAACAAAGGCCAATGATTTAATCAGTCAGGCCAGTATAATGAAGCCTCTATAAAAACCTGAAAGGACTGGGTTCTGAGTTTCAGGTTTAGTGAACACATGGAGAGGCTGGAAGAAAGGTGCGCCTGGAGAGAGCCTGGAAGCTCCACGCCCCTCCCAACACTTTGCCTTGTGCATCTCTTGCATTTGGCTGTTGCTGAGTAATAAAGCAGTAATCTAGTAAGTGAAATGTTTTCCTCAATTACTAGCACCCAAGGAAGAAATGGTGGGAACATATGATTTGTAGCCTGTTGGTTAGAAGTACAGATAACAGCCTGGGCTTAGTCTGAAGCTGGTGGGGAGGGGGTTGTTTTTGTACCTCTGGGGAGGTAGTATCAGAATGAAACTAAATTCCAGGACACACAGCTGGTGTCCCAAACATTCTTTGTGGTGTGGGGAATCCCACACACACTCAATGAAAAGTGGTGCCCAAGAAACCCAAAATTAATTACCTTATTAATGTAATCAAATCAAGTCTCAGTTTTCACAAAAGAGGGGTAAATTGCTTATTAGAAGCAAGCAGTCCCTCACTCCTTTTGATTCTAGCAATTGCAAAAACAAAAATACCATTAGCAAGGCATTAGATTGTCTTCCACCTTCATTTCATCTTGAGAAATAGGGGACAATATTTAGATTAAACTGATAACAGCAACCAATATGCTTTGAGGCAATAGAGATCAGTAGCAATATGTTGTTATGAATCCTGTATTAATGAATTGTGTCTGTTCTCTACCATATGTTGCAATCCCCAAACCACTAGACAGTTTGGGGTGGGTTTTTTTTTTTATTTTTTTGAAACATGAGAAAAAAGATGGTCTCCGTCGAGTTGGGTTTATGACTTCATCAATCACATGTTGTAGGCATTCTCAAGAAAAACCCAGGAATTCTTTTATTACAAAGTTTATTCTTTATTTTTACTATTCGTTCTCTCTGTTAGAGTATAGCGTGTGTCTTTAAGCTGGCAATTGTGCTTTACCTGTTTTGCATGCCTTGAAAAGGGAAAAGTGGTATGTGCTTTAAGACAGGGTATATGGTGATAGAGGGACTCAGCCTCTAAATGGAAAATCAGAAGTGGATCTCTCTCCAGTCATAGTGGCTCCATGCCAGAGCTACCCCTGTGGCTGGTCACCAGGTAAATCAACACAAATCACTTGGCAGCAGCTTATAAAGGCATCAGCTGATCTATAATGAAAAACCACAACCCTGAAGGGATACTAACAGCTCAGAAGTTAAATCTGACCCACAAATGTTCAATTTTGTGGTCATTGTTAGTTTTACATGATATTTGTTCTCACAGTGATTTTTTTATTTGCCACTATTTTTAAAATCTGAATTCTCAATAAAATTTTAAAATTAGGGTGAAAGAATGCAGTCCATCCCAGAATGAAGGTGGCCTTTTATTTATTTATTTGGATAAGGTGCCGCTGAAGCATGAGGCTGACATTAAATCTCAATTAAGAGAAAGTAGTACATTCCACTCAAGCCAAAAAGCTCAAGACAGATTGACATGTTCATTATTTTTAAAAAATAAACAACTGGTTATAAAATATTTATGCCAACAACTAATACTTTCTAAAACTGAAACAATCGCAATTTTACAATACTTGAAATTGGTACAGTGATATAAAATTATGTAAGTTATATTATATAAAAATTATATAAAATTATATAAATTATATAAAAGCTAACAGGAAAATTTGGAGAAACATTTGTAACAAATGTGATTGTCAATAAGAAGCCTCACTATGTCTGAAATGCATAATTGGACATCTTGATTCAAATAGAAGGATATAGTAAAATACCAAAGCACTGCAGACTTCACTAATTGAATAAATACAAATCATAATAAACAGGGGAAATAACTAATTTTAAGACAGAGTTGTAGAAAGTATGAGCATCCCGTGCTTTGGGGCATCTGTGACAGCATTGGGGATAGTTTCCATACTTAAAGGGGGTCATTTCACACATCATAAGACATCAAAACAGTTAGATACTCTGACCCAGTAATCCCACCCACCACAATATATATCTAAGAAAGAATCTAAAATGATTTTTTAAAATACAATACACAAAAGAATTTGTGATTGCAGTAATATTTATCATATACATAAAAAATAGCATCAAAGAAAATTTAACACCTGATATTTGAGGAATTATGATAAAATAATCGGTGATAATATAAAACCATTAAAATTCATAAATAAAATGACTGCAAAGACATAAAACTTTAGAAAATTACATTAAGATTTTTTTTTAAAGATTTATTTATTTATTTTATACAAGCACCGGGTACAGTCAGAAGCACGGGAGGGTGAGAGAATTCACCAGAGCCAGAGCCGGGAACAGAACAGGCAGACTGATGAAATACACTGCTGAGGGGAGCAGCAGGCGTGGCAGGAGAGGTCTGCTCACCATGTGGGACCCTTGCCAGCGGCCAGGGATGGAACCAGCGCTGCAGCGGCTGGCAGCTTTGCAGCCCAGCGCTCAATGACTGCACCACCAGGGGAGGCCCCATTAAGATTTTTTTTAATGTCATTGGTATAGTTTACATTTACATCTCCAGAAAATATGTATGCATACAGCCATAGTTCAGAAAAGAAAATGGAGATTTATTTTTATAGTAGGATTATGGGTAATTATCTCAAAATTAATTCTTAGAGATCTTTTTCTGGGTTTTTTAAATAATAGAGATTTTAGAAACTCTGCAGAATGGATTGAATATAGCAAATTAAATACCAGTTCCAAGGCTAAACGATGGTTCCCCAAGTCTAGAAGGAATAGGAGGTTGGGGAGCCGCTGGAACAGAGAATAGGTGTCTCCTTAGCAGCTTGGACAGTGCTTTGGAGATGAACCACTAAACAACTTCCAGGTTAGAGTAGATAGAGGTGTCCCAATTCCCCAGGGTCTGGAAAGTGATGTGAAGTTTCCACAGGCAGATGTTGTCAGTCTGTATCTTTTTGCTTATCCAAATGTGTAAGCACAGTTAACTTTGCTTACACAGTGTCTCCCTGGATTTTGCAAATCATCTCCTCTTTTGTATCTTTTGTTAAATGTGGTCTTTAAATTCCCTTCATTGATGAGAAATTTCCAGATTCTCTACGTGAATATCCTTCTTCCTCTTCATCATTACTAAGCGATTTTCCTTTTAGAAATCCTTAAAGATTGCACTGCACAACCTTACTCATCTCTCCAGCCAGGCTCTCTCCCCCCGAAACTCTGTCCTTGGTACCTCTGGAGCCCACACTTCTTGCAGGGACCCATCATCTATCGACTATCCACAAAGGGCCATACATTTTAATTTGCCAAATTTTAAAATAGCTCACAGCTCTTCTGGGAAAAATAATAGAGTGGAAAAAGGAAGAAGTCAGGTCTTCAAAATTAGAAACAACGTTTTCATCCTCCTCTTTCTGCTCTCAACTATCTAGGAGTTATAAATATTTCAGAAGCTTTGCAGCCTTTTTTCCTGCTTTACTTCTCACTAAATACATTATTCCTCCAACTCCCTTATTAAAGAAAAAGAAAATTATTTTGGACTCTGGGATTTGGCTTTACACATATTAAAGAGGAAATCCTACAAATTTTAATGCAGTAGATCATTAAAAAATAAATAAATAAGTAAAATCATTTTCCCTGGTTCTTATAGTTATATTGTTCTGGGCAAAAGTACTAAATAGGTACTAGGAATCTTGAGAGAAAATGTAACTAAGTTCTTTTTCAGATATCTAATAAGCCTTTACATAATAAGTTGTATAAATTATGCATTCATTCAAAGAAAATAAATTTATTGTACAAAATAGCATAATTGTATAATTTAATATATGCTCGATACTCTTTACCAAGCTTCTGGAGAAACACAAAGAAAGGCAAAGCCATATTCTGTCAGCAAAACCTTCCTAGAACAGGCTCTACCCATTCATTTCAATGTTCTTATAAGAAATAAAGTCCATCTAAAATGAAGTTATAGTCACACCTCACGGCTAGAGGAGTTTAATCTTTTAAGTAGTCTATAGAGAAAGATTCTTCAGTTGTAAGCAACAGATTCAGTAAGAAGGGAATTATCAAAAGACTAGTGCTCCAGTTTTTTTAAGATTTATTTATTTATGCATACAGGAACTGGGGTGTAAGCTAGAGAGGTGGGGGGTGGTGAGAGGATTCACCAAAGTCAGAGTGGGGAGCAGAACAGGCAGATTGACAGAAATACACTGCTGAGGGGAGCAGCGGGCGAGGCAGGAGAGGTCTGCTGCGCCGTGTGGGTTAGCTCCCTGGCTGGCCAGGGGGATCGAACTCATGCTGTAGTGGCTGGCAGTAGCTTGATATCACTGTCTTTTACCCCTGTGCCACCGGGGAGGTCCAGTGCTCCATGTTTTGAAGCAAGAAGATTAATTGATGAGTCCTCAGGAAACACAGGTCTCAAGGACTGTTGGTGGCAGGAATGAGGGAACTGTGTCACTGGTACAATGACCTTGGACATGCTCAGCTCCAGTCACATTCAATGGCAAAAGACTGCTTTGCATGCAAACTGACTTATCTTCTTCCTCCTCTGACCAATGCTAAATGTCAAGTGGAGCAAGTTGCACTTTATTATAAGAAAAAATTTTCACTTGTTAATGTGGGGCAGATCACACACCCACTGGCTAGCGCTGAAACAGTGTGGTCCCAGGGGAAGAAAAGCTGAATTACAACTGCAGCTGCACCTCTTATCACGCAGACTCAGACACGATTTAAATATTTTCATTGGCGCTCACAGACAGATTGTAGAGGATTTCCAATTCAGAAGGAGAGTTTTGAATAAAAATTTTTACAAGTCGTTAAGAGACAGTATTCGATTGGAAGGGATCTTCTATGGTGTTCACTAGAAAGGCAGTGTGGGCTTTGGCATCAGACAAGCCTAAATCCATAGCCTGCCTCCCCCCTTTATTCACTTGTATGGTCTTGGATAAGTAATTAATCCCAGTGGAGGTGGGGAGAAAGGAAAGGGAGACCCTTCAAGAAGATGGGAGGATCTTATCAGTCCAATGAGATGTTGAAGAGTGGAGGCTCAGGAGCCAAACTGCCTGGGTTGAACCCAGCTCGACCCTTTATTAGTTATGTGACCTTGAATAAGTCATTTAACAACTTGGTTCCAAAGTTTCCTCACCTATAAGATGAAAATAGTAAGTTACCTACCTCATAGGTCATCATGAATAGTAAACAAGTTGCTACATGATGATGACCCAAAACCCCCAGCAGTGGGGATGCCACTCAGGCTCCTTAATGCTGGCATCTGAGCTTTCTGACTGTGGCCGTGTTTCTCCCTCACTGCACACACCTCGTCTGCCCAGCCCCTAAGCTGCAGCAGTGTTTCACCCCTCGCTCCATCACTGTGTCAAAAAGTCATGCCTCTACTTTGTTTATGTTTGCACTCAACTTAGGGTGCTGACTTTCCCCACTCGAGGTTTCCCCATTCTACCTCTTGTTTTAAATTCTATCTCATGAGCCAGCTTCTCCCCAAAACCCAGGAGGTGTGTGGATCACTACATCAGGTATAAATGATTGTTTCCTCCCTAGACTCAAGCTGTTAAAAGCAGGGACATGGGACAAGTTCCCATCCCGTGGAACACATAGTAGGCACTCAGTGTATCAAATGTCTGTCTTGGTGCAGGAATGACTCTTGTCATCAATGTGACTGCATGGTGCCTGTGTCATCAGTGACTGAATAATACCTATTCCATAGAGCATGTAAGAGAACATCACCTTAGAAGCAAGAAGAAAGTCGAGGAACCATTCGTGCAATAGGGCGATGGGATGGCTCTCCAGGACTTGACTCTGCAGCAAGCTCTCACTGCTGGCTGGTTCCTTTCACAATGTGGTCTCATGAAGTCTTCAGAGCACACAGGGAAGGATAGTGTCCAGCTTCACTCTAGTCCAAGAAAAAGAACCTGCATCTAAGAGTGAACAGGAACAGGTGTGGGACCAGGTAGAGCACCCCATTCATGGCCTTTCCTTTCCGGTTCTCCCACAGACTTTGCAAATGGGCATCAAGCACTTCTCTGGACTCTTCGTGATGCTGTGCATCGGGTTTGGTCTGTCCATCTTGACAACCATTGGTGAGCACATAGTATACAGGCTGCTGCTACCACGAATCAAGAACAAGTCCCGGCTGCAATACTGGCTCCACACCAGCCAGGTGAGTGTGTGGCCATCCTGCTGCAGTGTTCTGCCAGGAGGTCCAGGAAGAGGAAGATCCCCAGTGCCCGATCAAACTGACAAATGGCAAGTTACCAAGAGAATTGGGGTGGTGTAGCTAGACGCTCTCAGTGTAGACAATGGAGTTCTCTCTAGCCCGTTAATTCCCTTTACCCTTAAGCTATCCCATAATATGTCTTCCTTTTATAGACCCCTTCAATTTTGCTCACAATGAAAGCAATAGAATTGTTTTTAACCTGATTTCATTTGATATGACAATCTGAAGAGCTGGTATGAAAGATGTTTCCTACCAATTCCTTCCTGCCAAAATGGAAATCCATTAAGTGAAACTTTGAAGTCCCTGTTCCCACTTAGATGAATCCACTGGCCCCTGTTCCCTCTGCTTTTTCACTGGTCCAGGCATCTGATGTCTGCCAGCATCAACTCCAGGCCTGCTGAGGTCAAAGTTCCTCTTCATGTGATTGAGACACCAACAGGCTCACTCGCAGGAAGCACTGAAACTCAGGCAGACAGACTCTCCCGGCTCACACTTCTATACATCCCTCCTGGAAGGAAAGTGGCATGGAGCACAATATACTCAGAAGGCTTTTAATGATGAAGGGGCTCGAGCAGAGGCAGCAGGTTCACCTGAGCAAGAGAGAGGTGAGGGGCGAGGGGCAGCCATCCGAGGGCCCGGGATGGACTCCTTGCAGCCAGGCCGCCAGTTCTGCTGCTCCTGCCCCATCCATCTCTCCTCAGCCCTCTCTCTTAATAATGTAGGATTTTGTTCATTTTTGGTTACGATCACGGCTTCAGTTATGCTTGAGCCCTGTTCTTCCTACTTTCATCCTAGGAAGTATTTGGTCTCCTAAGGAGAACGCAGCAGACAACCCATCTCCTCCATTGTGTGTTAACAGGATTAGTGTAATTCTCAAGTCCTTCCCTTCTTTGTTTTGGCTGCTGAGAAATTCACACTGACGTTTTTTGACTTGCCTTTAGCAAAGGAGGCCCTTTGCCACAATTAGCTGTGCTCTCTTCTTTGTATCACATGCCTTTTCACAACTGAGAGCATTTATAAGCATCCTCTCCAATTACTTTTTTTCCTCCAGCAGAATAATAATGTATAATCAGAATTCATGTTCTCTTGAGATTTGGGACTGAATGTTGATCTACTTTCAGGCATCTCTGGAAATTTGTTTAAAGACCCTAGGTTTGTTGCGACGAGATACACTGTTAAGTCTCCAGCAGTACATTCCCCCTCACTGTGTGCCACTAACGATCTCTCCGTGTGAATCTGTTCTTCCCGCCAGAGATTACACAGAGCACTAAACACATCATTTGTAGAAGAAAAGCAGCAGTGTTTCAAGACTAAACGTGTGGAAAAGAGGTAAGAAGAGAGCAGTGCCAAGCCCCTTTATATTTACCAAAATCAAGTTTAGCCATGTAATAACCAAGACTCCATGCTCAGAAGTGGAATTATGTGTAAATAATTCAGGACTAAGTTGTTGACAAACAAAATCTGTGAAAATTTATGTAGTTTCAAATAGAAGTAGATCAGATGGAATAAAAAGCATGTGTGTTTATGTCTGGACTCCAAAATGCTGTATTGCCAAGATATGTTGTGGTTGAAAGTGTGGGCGTGGGCTCTGGAGTCAAACATCTCATCCCCAGCCCTTGTCTCTGACATAAGTGACTTTGTGCTGAACTCTCTCTGCCTCAGTTTCCTCATTTGTGAAATTGAGGTTAAAGGAGTTGTTGATTAAATGAAAACAAAGCAAGTACCTAATAAATATTAGCCAATATTAGCCATAGCCTGTGAGACTTAATGCAGTAGTACCACGGGCAATTACTTCCCTGAGATAGCTCCTCGTGAGCATGTTCCCACTCCCCATTCCTCTCCAGCACACCCAGGGATATTGAAATACGCAACAGATGTGTTCAGCTTAATCCATTTCCTGGCACTCTTACTATAAACTCCCCAGAAGAAAGCAACTCATTAAGTATTAAATGCACAGATGACATTTGAAAATTGAAACTTCACACCTTCCCCACCTCCAGTCTGGAGACGACCGTTGTCTCATTCATGAAGGTAAAGATGTCAGAAGCATTTGGGTCAAGTTCCTGGCTGGCCTCTGTCCCAAGCTGCCTGCCCAGGGCGGCCCTCCTGGGTCTTCCTGTGCCGGGACCTCCATCAGGGAATCACCTCCGCAAGACTCTGTCATCTGTGGCAGAGCCTCAGCTCAAAGGCTGGTTTTCTGGGTAATTTTAAAATCAGATATTCACAACTCTCATTCAAAATTGAAGGAAAGGGAAAGCAGGGTAACATGAATCATTCTCATGCTGATACTGTTACGGAGCAATCCCGATATAAAACGGGTTCCTGGCTGTGGGTCCTCACCCGCGCGCTTTAAAGGGACTTATGAATACTCCACTACAGGCCCACACAAAAGGTTAATAAAAGGTTTATTTACAAGGGAAGGGGAATTGAGGAAATGTACAACTCAGGAAGAAAATAGGGAAATAAAGTCTTTAATGCTTCCTACCCGATCCGCTGACCTAGAAACCCAAAGGCACTCTCAGAGCTGGCCGAACGCTGCGAGCTGGCGGAGAGCCAAAAATAAAGGGACCCTCCCAAATCCCACATGTCTGGTTTTATACCAAACCTGGCTGCTTAACCCCACCCTCAGGTCCCAGCCACCTTCCCTTTGGGGGGGGATGGGATTTGGAGTTCCCAGTGTCTTGATGGCTTTGGCCTGGGGTGGGGGTGGAGTCCACAAAGCCTGTATGGGATTAGCTTTAGGACATCCTTTTCCCCCTAACAATTCCTCCTCTGGGACTTCTCCCGTCTCCCCCTCTCCAGTTTGCATCTAACTTGTCACAACTGTTCCCATCATCTCTTTTTTCTTCTTTAACTGAGGTCTTAAAACCTCTTTCCAGTCACTGAGCAACCACCCTCGCCCTCTCAGTCTGTGGCACTCTGTCATGTTGCTGCCCTGCTAGCGACAGGCTGTAGACCAATCAGGGCGCAGCTGCTCCATGCCATGTTATGTCTGTCATGTTCTATAACTATTTTTAACATAAATATAAGGAACACAAGAAGATGTGGTAGTAAAGACACCATCTCATAATGACGATGCTAGTTTTCCAGCTGTAAGAGAAGCAGGAAGCCTAGTGATTGTGTCTTCAACCATGATTCCTGTTCACATCTCTCACCTGGACTAAGAGCCCAATGTGTCTTTCACGCCACTCATCTTTCTAGGCAGAGTCTCTGGAACCCTCTATTTTGACTAGAAGCTAAGGCATAACATGTCCTCCTGGTTTATCTGAGACCCACATTTCCTGTGCCACCTCCCGATCGACCATGCCCCACCTGCAGCCTGTCAAGCACAGTGAGCATGTGAGCTTCCACAGCTCTCAGCACCCTTCCAGTGGAGGAGTGAGCCTCCGTGTCACAGGATTGCTCTGTGGAGCTTGTTTTGCCCGTCTTTAGTGTTCATTGCAGACAACTCACAGGTCACATGACACTCTAAACCCAAGGATGGAAACTGTAGCGGCGAACTCAACGATAGGCTCGTTTTTCCCCTCGGACACCAAACATCTGTCATCTCACATTCCTAGCGGCCCACAGTCACATGTCAACTGTCAGAGCACATGTGGTGCTACTGGCCTGCATTTGTCATAGAAACCAGCTTCTGCTTGTTCTCCTATATGTACAAAGACACATGTACAAAGCTCTGGAAAAGACCAGACTAGCTGTCTCTACTTACCTGATTTCTGTAGCTGTCCAGACAGTTCAGGAAGACATGTAGATGCTCTACATTCAATCATTCTACAGTACTCGAGTTAGATCTGGTGGCTTGAAAACTTGCCCTCTTCTTTTTTTGTGAACTTATTTATTTTTGTGTAGAAGAACTGGGGTGTAGGTCAGAGGTGTGCAGAGGCAGTGAGAGGATTCACCAAAGAGAGTGGGGAGCAGAACAGGCAGATCTACTGAAATACACTGCTGAGGGGAGCAGCAAGAGAGACAGGAGAGGTCTGCTGTGCCATATGGGTTCGCTCCTTGGCCCAGGGATTGGAGTCAGGCCTTAGCAGTAATAGAGCTGAGCATAACCCCTACACCACCAGGGAGGCCCCTCCCTCTTCTTTTGGGAAAATATCTCTACCAATGCCCATGTCTGCTACAACTTGTCATATCTCCCATGTTTTCCATGTTGATTGAAAGAACAAATGAATTAATTTTTTTTAAAGATTTATTTTTTTTTATTTATACAATAGCTGGGGTACAGGCCAGAGGTGTGGGAGGGTGAGAGGATTCACTAGATACAGAATGGAGAGCAGAACAGGCAGACAGACAGAAAGCACTGCTGAGGGGAGCAGCAGGCGCAACAGAGAGGTCTGCCGTGCCATGTGAGAATCTCCCAGGCTGGCCAGGAATCGAACCTGTGCTGCAGAGGCTGCGGACAGCTTCACAGTGCTGCGCTTAACCCGCTGTGCCATTGGGGAGGCCCCAAATGAATGAATTATTGACATCGAAGTTTAAAGCAAGGCTTGGAGGAGTTTGGGGCCATGGTATAAAAGCAGATTTTAACAGGGGAACCAAATAAGAAACATCAGTGTGAAAAATAATAGCAGTATAAAACACAACAAAGCAAAAACAGACAATTATAAACCAGAGACATCCTGCAGGGGAGGAGGAGGGAGAGGGATCAGAGACAGAGAGGGAGGAGCACTGGGGTCTGAGATGATGGTGCACGGGTGCATTGGTGAAGGAAATCTAATGGGGACTACACCTGAGGGGGAGAGAGGAAGCAAATATTGTTTAAAAATGAACAATGATAAAAAAATTATTAAAAAATTAAAATTTATTTTTCTTCTTATTAAAAAAGGAAGATCTTGCTCATTTTTTTAATTGTCCTTTTTTATTTTTTCTTAAATAACATTGCTAAGTTGGAAAAATAAGTAGGTTTTTCCAAGGACTTTCCTGATATCCTTGTGACTTAAATGGAGATAGCAGCAGTATACTTACGTAGTTTATTTTTTTTTCTTTTTTTTTAAATATTTTATTTTATATAATTCTTACATCTTTTTTCATCTTTGCACAATGTATGCATTTTCATTTTGGTTATATTCCCCATACAATTGCACCCCCCCCCTTATCTTGCTCATTTTTTAATTTAAAGCAGAGGAAATTGCAAATGTTGCAAGGGACTACTTACATACACTTGACCCTTGAACAACACAGGTCCTGGGTTTTCTTATGAGCAGACAACCTCAACTTACAATATCGATAAATACATGACAGTACTGTAAGGACAGGGTTTTCTCCTCCTGATTTTCTTAACACTTTTGTTTTTCTAACTTCATTGTAAAAATACAATATATAATACATATGACACCAAATATGTGTTAGTCGATCCATTTATGTATGTTATTGCAGGACTTCTAGTCAACAGCAGATTATTAGTACTTAAGCTTTGGGAGAGTTAAAAGTCATACATGGGGGTGGGGGGATGCTCCCTGGTGGTGCAGGGGGTTAAGCATCAGCACTGTGTAGCTGTCCTCAGCCCCTGCAGCACGAGTTCGATCCCCAGCCAGGGAGCTACCCACATGGTGCAGCAGACCTCTCCTGACTCTCCCACTGCTCCCCTCAGCAGTGTATTTCAGTCAGTCTGCCTGATCTGCTCCCCACTCTGTCTCTAGTGAATCTTCTCACCCCCAGCACCTCTGGCCTACACCCCAGTTCTTGCATGCATAAATAAATAAATCTCTTTAAAAAAAAAAAGTCATATATGGGTTTTTGACTACACAGGGGGTTGGTGCCCATAACCCCTAAGTTGCTCAGGATCAACTGCATAGTCTTTGGTTTATTCAGCATGTGATTTCAAACAAGCTTTGGTCTATCCTTCACCCACTGGGCTACTAATACATTCCCCTTTCCCTTTCCTCTCACCCTTAGACACACAGCAATTGTAAACCATATAGCACACCACAGATTCCTTGAAATCATTCTAACTCAATAGGAAATATATGAAGAAAACTAAAAGGGAACACGAAGGCTAGAAGGAAAATGTAACTGTACCTCTCATCTAGGGGTAAAGCCAGGGAGCTATAAGTGGGTTCATGATCCAACCTCTGCCCAGCTTGGGAAGCATGAAAGCAGAGCTCCGGTGCCCCTCCCCATTTATCTGAGACGTGAACTATGACAAAAGTTAAACAACCGCAGGGTGGTTTGGAATGTGTTTCTGTGTTTAATGGCTCAGGGCATGTATTGGTCTGCCAGGGGAGAAATTATCCCAGTGTGTAACGTCCTGAACAACAGCACGTTGCTTATGAATCTGTGGTCAGCTGCTCCGTTTACTGACCTGGGCACAACCCGGTCCATCTTGATGGGCTTGGTCACAGGCCCACAGGCAGTTATAGGGAGGGAGAGGGGAGTGTGGCTAAGAGCTGGCTGATCCATGATGACCTCTGCTGGGTCAAGACTGGAGACTCTCCGCACTCGGCACACTGGTGTGGACTTGCTCAGATTGTAGCGGCAGAATACTGAGAGAGAGAACAGAGCTGAGTGAGGCGTCATAAATGTTTAGGCTTGGAACTGTCACTTGTGCCATTTTCTGTTGAAACAAAGCAAGTCGGGAGACCAGACCAGATTCAAGGGGAAGGAAAGCAGAATTTCCCCCCTGACCCCCCATAATGGGGTTGAACTGTAGAGTCACACATGACAGAGGGGCTTGAATGAAAAGAGCAGCAAAGCTTTGATCTGTTTTGCCATCTACGCAGGGCAAACAAGATAGAACCGTTTTGTCTCATCCACATAACTGAGTCAAGACTTAATCATCACCCACCTTACCCTTCTCCCTGTAGGTCCTCCCCTTCTCCTCCTGGCAAGAAGAGTTCAGGAATAAAGATTCCATTCAGTTCTATGGCTGGGAACAAAAACATGAGGTTTTAATAGGGTGTTCCTACTTTCTTTTGCCCCGCGGTAGATTGCTAAAGTGGTTATAATCCTCCTCCTCTTTCTCCTTTACAAGGTGAGAAGAAATCAGCAATTGTGCTGCTCGGGGCTCTAATCTGTTCTTGGAGAAAGAAACTCTTCTCATTGCATCTAACTGTCAGGGTGTTTCCAAAACAAGGCTCCCGCTGCCTTGCCCGTGTGGCAGTAACTCTGCAGTGATGGGAGGTGGCTGGACGCAGGCCTGAATGAGGCTTGTGGACGTATTTCTCTATTTGGCTTTCATTATCCCAGTATGGACTTGAGACTTTCTTTTTTGTTTGTTTGGGGTTTTTTTGTTGTTTTTTTATTTCAAACCTAAGCAGTCCATCTCAACCCACATAAAGTCATCCCTATAATGGGAAGCTTTTTGCTGAAACTTGCAGCTTGTATGCCTTTATTCGCCTCAAACTCGAGTAGTAAACATCAGGGTGGTCCTGGGGGACTGAGGATGAGCCAGATTATAAAACCTGTCAGCAGGCTCATGCTTTGAACCCAACAGCTGAATAAGCAGGTCCTCGCTTTTACTAAAGCACCATCTTTATAGCCATATAATGTTTCAAGTCAGCGCTGTTTTCTGAGCCTCACCAGCAGGAAGGGAATAAAAAGGCATCTGAGGTTCTTCATGAAAGAACGTGCTGTCTCCTGGTTCCCCGGAGCCCCAGACAATATGCCCCTTCCAGTTTCAGGGCAGCATAAGACTCGGTGAGACCTTGAGCTCCCGGGGAAAAGGGTGTATCGGCCCCTGAGTCTCTGTGCCCCTGCAGCAGGCAGTCTCTTTCCGAGGCTTTGCTGCTTCATCTCAGATGCTTCCCCAGCTCCGTGTTATTCACACGGGAAATGACTAACAGATGGAGAACAGCACTTAGAGAGCTGCAGAGCAGAAGGTAAATCTAAAGCGTCTCTTTGTTCCCAGGTCCAACGTGGGACCCCGTCAGCTCACCGTGTGGAACACGTCCAACCTGAGTCATGACAGCCAGTGCAAATACACCTTCAGTGATGAGGGAGGGCAGAACCAGCTGGGCATCCGGATGCACCAGGACATCCCTCTCCCTCCCAGAAGAGAGCTCCCTGCCTCGCTGACCACCAATGGGAAAGCGGACTCGCTCGGCGGAGCTCGGAACTCAGTGATGCAGGAGCTCTCGGAGCTGGAGAAGCAGATCCAGGTGATCCGGCAGGAGCTGCAGCTGGCTGTGAGCAGGAAAACAGAGCTGGAGGAGTTTCAAAGGACAAATCGGACTTGTGAGTCCTAGGTGGTCCTGCTGCTCCCCTTCCCCAGTTCCCAGCCCTCCTCTGAGCCCTTGAGACACTTTGTAATGCTCTTTTGTAACCACAGACCAAGGTGTGGGGAAGTTGAGGTCCAGGTCTTCTTGCAGATCAAGTCAGCGCTCCCTCGCCTGAAAAAGCAGCAGCAGCAGCTTTTCCCAAGCTCACTCCCTAGGTCTCCAGGGTAGGGGTCTTCTCTTCATAGCAGCCGTCTTAGGGGTAAGCCCCGTGTAAAGTCTGTGAATAACCAAACAAGCCCAGCTCCTGTTAACCTTTCCACCAGGTGCCACAGTAATATTTCTGGTTTTTAGCCCTTTCTCTGCACTAGCAACAAGAAGACAGAAAATTGTTCCTCATCCCTGTGTCTTACTGGGTTGTTGGTTTTCATCTTAGCATAGAACAGAATTATCTGTGGTTGTAGCTTTTGCTGCAACTCTCCAACTTCCATTCCTACATTTTGAGTGTGGAGCAGGGTAAGAGCTGGGGAGTTGTAGGACAGGGAAGTGCGTAAATAAGAAGTGAATTGAGCTCATTCGTTTCACAGCAGGCCAAGGACTGATGGGGTCAGGCAAGAGCCATGTTTTTGAGAAACTCCTGTGTCCTCCACCCATTCCTGGCTACCATTTGTAGGAACTTGTTTACATGCCACTGTGAAAGGGGACAGGGATGTGACAAGCAGAAAACAGAGACAGGCCGAGTGACAGTCAAAATGTACACCCTGCTTTTAGAACAGAAGCTCTGGGCAGGAAAGCAATTTGGCAAAAGAAAGAGCAGAACTATCCTTCTAATCTAACTAAGCATCTCCATTATCGTGTGTGCCTTTTGTAAAAGACAAAGAGAGAAAAGCGTGGACGGTGGCCTTTAGGATGAAACTGGAATAGCCCTGCTTGTAGCCTCTCCAGGTATGTGAGCTGGCATTATGAGTTAAGGAATAATATTCTAGCCATATTTGAGGCCATTTTCACATAGGCAGTCACCTGTCTCTTAGCTGTAAGAATCCCGAAAGAGAACCTGAGGCCTGTGAGCATCCTCAGCTTCAGCATTCAGGAACACGCCCTGTTCTTTCATGTCTGTGGCGATAAGTACAAAGTCAACCCCCCCAGCCTCGATCCATCCATCTCTGAAGAGCTATGAGCACTTTCGGGCCCTCCAGTTCTCCAGTTCCCATCTAGTGCCCCCAAGAGATAGATAGGGGCCTGATTTCTCCTCTGCCTAGGCCTCCCTCCCCCAGTGGGCAACTGCTTGGACCTGCAGAAAGGGAGAGGACTGCGGGAACTATAGAACTTAGTGTAGATAGGAATGCTAGTGTAGATAGGAATCATCTAGGAACTCATTAGATTGGAACCTTCCCCAGAGATTGGTACTGGCCTGAGGTGAGCTCAAAAACCTCCTGTCATCCAGTACCCCCCGATGACTGACACAAGTGATCCCCAAAGTACTCTCATCTAGAAGTCCGGCTGCCCCAGGCGTGGAGAGAAGTGAGAAGAGCCTTTTGAAGAATTTTTTCTCAGCTTCCACACATACCTGCTGCTTCACCTTCCACTCCCCCCACTCTGACCCTGGGGCACCATTTATCATTCGACTTCCTGGCTTTTCAATTCCTTGCCTGGTCTCCTGGGTCCTCCCGGCTCCACCCCAGCCTCCATGCCGTCCCTGCCCCAGACCTGCGCCCTGAAACAGCTGCAGATCATTGCAAAGCCTCCTCAGTCACAAACTCTCTCCGTCTGCTTTCTGGGTGGCATCCCTGCATTTCCACCAGAGCTACCTAGCCCCCCCCCCCCCAGGGAAAGATACCCTAAGCTGTAATTAGATGACACTTCAGCAGTTAGTGAATTTTCTAAGAAAACCCTGGGAGTGGATATAGACAGAGACTGATGAGAGAGGGGAAAGGATCGGAAAGTTAGACTCCATCAACCTCACAGATGAAACAGTTCAACAATGAGAACAGGAGAAGCCTGGGAACAGAGAGGATAATTCTGCCTTGAGATACCTAACCCTCCCATGTTCCCACCCCAGGCCTAGAAGTAGGTTTGCAACTACTTTTGGAAGACTCTGCCCCTTAGCCATCCCCACCCATCTGCCAGAGCTCAGGATGCTGTAGAGACTCTGCCATTGTGCTCTGCACACCCTTGGGCCTCTGCACAGCCCGGAAGGCTGATGTACAGGTGTACCTCAATTCACATAACACCACGCTCCTAATGTTGTATGTGGACATTTTTATAATTCAGCGCACATTCAGACTGTACCTGAGAAGCTGGCTACTTAAAGGAACCCAGAGGTGAATTCTTTTGTAAAGTAAAGAATCCTTTTGTAATGCAATCGATTACCCCTTAATGTATCTGTTTTGTAAGTTTGGATTTTTTGTATATCGGGTTTCCCTTCAGCTTCTCTACCAAGGTGTTCTGAGCAGTGGTAGTAACACACCAGACGGCCCTGTCTCTATCCACTAAGTAGGTGTCCAGTGCACGACTCCTCAAGGATCTTCTGAGGAATGGCTTGGTCAAAACTGTGGCCAAGGTGCAGCAAGATACAGCAGGGGTTGAAAGCAGATTTGCTGCCCTCAGCACTGCTTAGTATGTCCCCATGTTCTGGATAAAGAAGAACCGTAATTGCTTGTGGTGAATTGAAACAGTCTTCATGTTAAGTAGCAATGGTTATTTTTCTCAGTAGTAATTGAACAGTGTTTTGCAATTTGTGAAACAGTGTGTTGTGTTTTGTAAAAAGAATTCATGTGGTGGGTCCTTTGAAAACCCTCCTTTCTGTTCCCCTCCACCGCAGTTTCTCTCAACTCCCTCAGGCTCAAATAAGCAAAGATCAGAAGTCTTCAGGTGGAGGGTGTATCTTGGTAAAAGGAAGTAAAGGATGCTACCTTACCTGCTCTTGTTGGCTCCTGTTGCATGAGACCAGGGAGGCCTCCATTCTTTTGCAAGCCTTAGCGGTGGGGAACCTGGAACGTGATAACCTGACTGTGTCACCCACCCCAACCCCGCTTTCCAAGGGGGAATTCCGGACACAGGAAGCACACAATAAAGTATAAATGTAAAGTGGGAGCAGGCTTGGTTTATGTAAACAATGAGGACCCCAGACTGTGGATGCCTCAAGATAGAGGAGCAAGGGGATCCCTCCAACAACTAAAGACAAATTGGAAGAATGACTGGAACAGAGCAGTTAGGCAGCCAGGGGGACCCCATCTGTTGAGGTCTTTAACGTGCCTGGAGGTGACCCTCCGTTATTAATGACTCTTGCTTTGCACAGCCCTAGGAGCTGCTGCTTCCTGCCAAGCGAGAAGTGGTAAGTGGAGCAAGTGCCAAGCAGAACAGTTATGCCATCTGGGCCATAGAATTCCCAGTATTAGTGCTGGGTCTATTAGAGCCTTGAAGCTAGTAAGCACTTCCTAAGTATGGATAAAGAATGGAGAAAGAAACTTCATTAGAGCCTCCCTTCCTCCCAACTCATATTTTTAATAGGCAAACCAGATCCAACCAGTCTTCAGAAGCAAATGATTGCTCTCCGGTCATCAGTCACTCCCCTTATCTACACTGTTGAGCTACCCTTTCTTCAGCCACCCACACCACCCACCCAGTCCAGGACTCCCTTCCTCTCTTCAGTTAAGTTCCTAATTGTTTTATGAAAATACCGTACTTATAACTATTTTCTTAAGGTTTGTAAAGAGTGTTTGCATTGTGTCTTCATTTCAATGTGTTTGCAATCGCTCCGCTCCAGGAAGAACTGAAGTGCTGTCTTGTGAGCATGAAGTGAACAGGCTGTTTTGCTCCAGCCACTTTTCTTGTACAACCACATGGATGGACTAGATGTCCTCAGGTCTCTTCCATCCTCAGTTTCTATGACTGTGGAATAAATGTTCAGATAGAAACTTCACTTTTGGATGTGCTGCTGGGATTGTCTTTGGGGATTCAAATGTTGACTTGGTACCAGCCTCTTCCTAACAGGACACTCTGATGCTATCTGTTTGTGCTTATTTCCTTATATAATCCAAAGTGACTCAAGCTATGCTGACAAAACATCATGAAGTAGAACTGAAATGGCTTCCTCTGAGAGAAACATACTAGGAAAAGCCTTGAGAGAACAACTGTAAGATATTTCTGAAAAACTGTGCCCTGACCACCTTCATTTAATAACTCAGCAAACCTTTGTGAAGCAAGTCGTATTTATATGCCAAATGCTGGAGATGCAATAGTCTTTCTGACATTCTGCCTCTCACCCATGTCTCAGCCTGGACCCCAGACCCACATAGAGATGGGAGATCAGGTGGGGACTGCTCCAGCACTGGTCCATTGAACGCAACACACATAAAACCCTTGAGTGGCACAGAAATAATTATTTCAGTATTTCTGTTTTCTACTCCGTCCAAGAACTAGTGCAAACTAAGTTGCAAATCACTCTGCCGTCCAGAAGTCTCAGCCATCTTACAACCCAGGTACCTTTACCTGCCAGCAAAGTTTCTTTTATGAATGTGCTAGCCAGGTGCAGTCTTCATACACACCTTTATTGGTAAGTCATCTCTCATAAAAACATGTACCTGTGACATAATTCAACCTCCCAGGAGTTTTGCATCATTTAGTCACTCATATTTTGGATGCTTATTTTGAGCCACGCATTGGCTTAGCTGCTGTAGATTAAAAAAAAAAAAAAAATTCTCACCCCATGCAGATCAGTCTATTTGGGGATGGGGAGTGATACAAACCAGCAAATCAATAAGGCATATACTCTGATAAAGAAATGCACATAAGATGCAGTGAGAACATGACACTGTGTGTGTGTGTTTGTGTTTGTTTGTGTGTGTGTGTTGTGGAGAGACTGAGGAAGGTAACAGGCATCCCACATAGAAGAAACACATGTACAAGGTTCCAAAATTGGGAAACTATGGCATACAAGGAACTTGTGAACTTCTAAGAGATCAGTGTGATAGGTACATAATGTAGAAGGAAGGGGACAAGCTACATCAACGGAAGGAGAAGAGGAAGACCACTGTGCTAAACTCAGTTTGCATACCAAAGACTACAGGAACCATGAAAGGATTCTAAGCTGAAGCAGGATATATTGAGAGGTCAAAATTCTCACGAGGCGCTGGAACTGGCTGTCTATCACCTGCTTGCAGGGCTGTGAGCAAATGATCTTTTTTATGTTTTGAAATCACTTGGCCATGATACCATTTAACTAGGACAGGTGGACAAGACATGAAAAATGAGGATGTCCATCTCATTTTTTTTTAATAGTAAAAAAATGTAAGTGAAGAAAGAAAAACTGACCTCACAATTTATTTGCAATAGTAAAAGCTAATACTTTCTGAACACTTGGTAGGTGCCAGGCACTGTGTTAAATGTTTTGTATATTTCACTCATTTCATCCTCAATACAATCCAATAAAGATGTAGCTATTTTTATTTTGTATATGAAGAAATGAGGAGAGGAATAACTTGCCATTAAGTGGCAGGGCCACACTCGCCCAAGGCTGATTTCCTAAGAAATGCATTTGACACAGTGCCTGGATTCACAATCAGGACTCAACAAAGGTATAAATGGATTGACTGAGCAAAGAGAAATCTAAGATCTCTTTGGTTCAAATTCTACTCTAGAACAAAGTACTGTCAGGGCTCACAATTCATAGGGGAACAAACCAGTCCCAATCTGACCTGGCAGAGATCCTACTTAAATTAGAACTGTCAAGAATAAAACAAACACACTGTTTATATAAGCCTTCAGGAAGACTTCAGAGAGACGCAAGTATTTTCCCTTATTATCTGCCTCATAAAACCACTCTACTGATATGGGTGTCTGTTTAGGATAAAAGTAGAGAACTGACTGCCACATTTCAAATTGTGCAGGGTGTCCCTGGGAACTCTTTCCTCATCTCTAAAAGAAGGACATGCTTTGAGGTCCCTTTCACATCCTACCTTTCAAGTCATTCCACTCTGTATTTCAATAACTTCAAATCCTCAGGGCACATTGTTATTAATGCAAATATACATGGTTCCATTCTGTCTACAACTTCCCTCAAAAAAAAGGTTATCAAACCTATAATAAAGGACTCCCCAGCCTATTATTAGGTTGCCTCTAACAGAGGTGTTCATTTCAGAATTCCTAATTCTTCTTATCATCACAAAAGAAATAAAAAATGCAATTTAATATTTTAGGATAATCCAAATATAAAAAGTTACTTCACTATAGGAAGAATGATTGTTTAGGGGCGAAAAAAAAGGAGTAAGGTTTGATTTCACATTGGTCCAAAAAAGCAGACTTGTGAAGATCTATTAGCAGAACCATAGAACTGAATTAACGTGATCATACAAACCTTTTCTGAGTAGCGTGCCAGGCCCTCTGCTGGATATTGAGATTAGAGTGCTAAAATAATGTCCTTTCCAATGTCCTAATTTTAGTAATTATCAAGTGTTCTATAAATAAGACCTTGATATCAAGCATAGGGAAGAGACCAAACTTGGGGAGAAAGCCCCAGAAGGCAAAGCTCAATTTTCTTTGTGGTGGAACAATTATGGATTTAGGAAATTAAGTTACTGCTAAGCCAGGGGTTTCCTATGGTATAAACCCAATCCAACAAACATACAACCACCAAATTTCAACTTACTCTCAGAATAGCTGTCTTACCATGTGGGTCAGATAAATTATGAAGAGAAATAACTGGTTAAATAAACCATCATTATTTAGGCATAATCTCTATCCAGAGCAGACTCAATAAAGCTAGGAGAAAAGTGTTTCAATTAATCAAAGAAAAAAATATTTTAAACACACAGTCTCTTGAACAGCAGTTGTAAAATCAACTAATAAAGACAAAGTTTCAAAGAAAAACACAAAAGCAAACTGAATCCTGCTTTAATTGAAGTGAAATACAAAGTCTTACAGACACATTACAGAGAATCTTCTGGAAAACAGGGATCACAACAATCCCTGTGGAGAAGACAAGAGTAATTCACAGCTCACCAAGGCCTCCCTGTATAAGTCCTTAAGAGTTCCCAGAAGCTCTCTTTACCATTTCAGTCATGTTCCCCATCCTCTCCAGTCCTGATTTCATTATAAGATTAAAGGGGCTGTATAACTTGAAATTATTCTGGCCTTAAGAAATTTAAAGACTTCGATGAGTAAAACATTCAAACCTTAAGTAACTTCAACAACCCAGCTGACCGTAACAAGATATTTTGCTAGTGAATTGGAAATGGACTGAATGATCCTGGACATAATTTCATTAAGGCCTCGAACCATCCAGGAAAGAGTAGCACAATCACACCATTTTATAACTCAGGTTTACAAAAAGTTTACTACCCAAATCAAGAAAAGTTTGTGCCCATAGATCACTTACCTCTAAAAGATCACCACCCCCCAAGTCACGTCTCTACACTTTGTTCCCTTTTTGCATATCAAAAATACCAACTTCTTCAGGAGGAATGGACAATCCAAGATTATACAGTAAGCCTGAAGAAGAAAATGTTGAAAAGTCTAAAAGCAGGAAATAACCAAAGCTGGTAAGGATAACAAGTAAGAGTTGTTTGCATCTAATTCATTCTAAAATCCAAGATCTGCATTTCCCAGTCCTTCCCCTGAAGTTATCTAGCTACTAAAGAGGAGAACCTGGATGTAAAGTCTGTGAAGGAAAGTCTGCGAAGGGCAAACTGCCCCGTAGCTGACAGTCAAGGAAAGAAGAGGTAGCGGTTCAGTGGTTAATGAGTAAGTGCCTGTTTAGCCAGTCCCTCTTCTTCTCTTGGCTTGGATCAACCAATGTAGATGCGGTGGAAATCGTTGGCACCAAAAGCAGCATTACACTTGGGACATTTACGCTGGCGGGTGTCGTAGCGTGTCTTTACACACTCAAAGCAGAAAACATGGAAACACTTGGTAAGTACAGCATCCTTTTTACGCATGTTGCAACATGGACAGGTCAGGCGTGCCTAAAAAAGGAAAGAAGTCAGAAAGTGAGTAACCATAAACCATAACACACATTTATGACCCAAATGTTCTCTCACATATAAGAAAACAGAACAACAAAGAGCACCACTACACACGAAGACAGCAACGTACCATTCTCCCCATTCTCAGGTTACCTTCATAGAAAGAAGTTCGGCATTATTCTCCCAGTCTATCAGTAGGCTATTTCTGGCCTTGACCAAAAAAACCACAAATCACTAAGGCAGTTTTTCTAACCTTGTAATCCTTAATCTCCTCCATCAGAATTTCATCACACTTGGGTCCATTATCTGGTTTCTTTGTCGTATCCAGCTTCTTCCGGAGTCTAGAGATGTCCTCCTGTGGAAGGACAGCACATCCATTAAAGTCATTCCCCTAGACGTGTCGTCTTTGAGAAAAACAATTGCTCCAACTTGAACTTTTTTTTCTGGAAAGGACTCTTCATACCCAATTATCTTTTAGGAATGTTGGAAATTAACAAATGGCAAGTTTGTTTCAGAATAGACAACCACAACCATATCACCAAACCTGAGTTGCAGCTGATTATCAGTAACTCAGTTCTGTGAAAATATCATATAAGACTTTAGAGGGAATGAATTTACCAAAAAAAAAAAAAAAAGCTATTTAAAGGTAATTAATTTTAAGTTGAAGGTAGATGGGAATAAAACAATTTACAGATTTATGGATAAGGAGAGAAAGGCATCATGAAAACATCTGCCATGCCAAAAATAGAAAAATTGTAGAACTTTAAAATCCTCGAGTGTTGCCATGCTGCTACTGCTTTACAAATTGACTGATTCATTCATTCAATTAGTATTTATTTTATGCCCACAGGGTGCTAGGAACTGTGACAGGCTTTGAGGACATGGCAGTGAAGAAAACAGAGTCCATCTCTTCACTCAAGGAACCTATAATCAAGTGGGAAATGACATACATTAAACCAATGATTCTCACAATCTGAGTCACCCCAGAGCTCAGAAAACATCTATAAGGTGACATGCAGAGAAAACAATTGACCTTACCTGGGCTCGTTTGAAATTGAACATGTCCTTCTCTTTGGTGACACTGTTCTCCACAATCTCATCCTGAAAATCATGTAGCTTCTTCTGAGCCAACTCCAATTGTGCTTTGAGGTCATCTGCAAGCTGGGCTGCCTCCATGGCCTGTGAGGGATATAGGAATAAAGTTATCCTATCACCCTTCTTCCAGTTAGGCAAAACATTAATCCAAGTCCAAGCAATAGAATAAACTTATAATTTCATCAGTGTTATACTTATTTGTTCCCCAGAAGACAAACTGTCACTTCAGATTACAAAGTAATCAATCATACCTTGCGTTTATTCATCTCTAAAGCTTGGGTCCTAAGACCCAGCTCCTTCTCCCCTGTGCCAATGTTGCTTTGCAACAGATGCTCCTTCTCTTCCAATTTCCTTACTACCTGTAATTGGGCATCAACCTTGGAAGAAGAAAAACATTTTAGCAAAACAAAGGAAAAAGAAGACTGATGAAACTCAATCTATAGGATGACAAAAGGGAATCCATTAGAAATCTCAAACCATTACTGATTCTATCCATGAACCCTACAAAATACATGCAAGACTGTGATAATTAAAAGCTTCACTTTTAATGCAAAATATTGCTGATGATTCAATTAAGAGCCTGGGAAACTACTGAAAAAAATCCTTCTCCAAATTTCCAAGAATAGAGGAAATGATGTTTAGGGATATTCATCTTGTTTGGCCATGTTAATCCTCAAAACCTGGCACTTCATACTAGCACATGTAAATAACAGCTCAAACAGAAGTCCAAGTATATCTCTTTCAGAATGGTTAGAGGTTGCGAAGTGCTTATACTTTACAACTTTTCTTGCAAAAGTGAAAATCACACAAAGTAAAAATCACACAAAAATAAAGGGCATAAAGTAAAATCACACACTCAGAAACTCTCATTCAAACATCTAAAGGTAAAGGAGACCACTCTTAAATTTTTCAAGCAGTCACCTAGAAATTTTTTAAATACAATACACATACACAGACACACACAAAGTCATAGGCATTTTTAGCACAAAAGATGACAAATCACATTTTTCCATATTAGTGATCCCCATTTCTTTTAATAGCTATACTATAGTCTTTGATAGGGGTGTATAATCTATTTCCGATACCCTAATCTTGCACATTTAGTTTTCAAAGATTTTTTCCTATCACACACACAGAAAAAAGATGCTATGATAATCATTATCTTCATGTAAAAAAAAAAAATCCTACTTTCAAGAAAATTCTGGAAAACTCTACTCATTTTAATTACCTGAGTCTTCAGTGTCAAAACCTGGTCTGCCAGCTCCTCCTTCTCTTCTTTAAGCAACTTATGGATCTGGTTGGACTTGATACGTTCTGACATGAGCTTGAAATTTGCATCATCCTTTTCCCGCAACTGCTGCATCAAACGGATATTTTGCTCCTGCATGTCTTCAAAGGCCTGGCCTGTGACATCCATCTCAGAGAGGAGAGCTTCCTCCTCCTACAGTGAAGAAAAATCTTCATTTTAACAGAATCTTCTAACTCCAAAGAAATGGGCACAGGAAAACAAACTTTCCTACTCTTCATTTAGAAATAAATTAACCTAGTGACAGAGAGGCTTAGTTTTAAGAAGTTTTGTCACCAGGTTAGCTCCAGGCATACAGAAGAAGCCTTATCACCTGAGACCACTGGTACAGAATGTTAGTCTAATGCTCATTGGTTGACCCATACTCAAAATCAGGTAAAACAGACAAAAAAATAAACACATCATAATTCATCAAACCGATCTTGATTAAGTAGCAATTGGTTAAGAGAACTTCTATCATAAAAAAATCTCACATATTCTTACACTTTTCCACAATTATAAAAACATTTTTAAGTTAGACTTTTCCAATAGTTCTGCAAATAGCTCAAGATTTTTTTTTAACAATCTGATAAGTAAAGAACTATCAAAAAAAGTTTTAACTTACACTTCTTTTACTATAAATGAGAATGAGCATCTTTCCATATGTTCAGGATTGATCTGTATTCCTTTCTGTGAACTATTTCTATCTTTTACCTAGTCTGTTGGATTGTTGCGTTTTCTTACTTGCATTTTTTGGGGAGTATTTTATATATCAGAAAGAAAAGTACTTTTGTGATGAGTTAGAATTTTTTTCCAAGTATCTTTTAGCTTTGCTGTCATGTATAAATTTTGGATATGTGATTTTTTTTTTCCATACATCAAAATTATTAATCTTTTCTTTCATGTTTTTGAGATTTTCACATGAAGTTAGAAAGACATTCTCTACTCCAAAATTTACAAAGGAATTTATCCTGTTTCTCGAAATTCTTTTATGAATTTATTTCCTTAATATTATATTTATAATCCACTTGGAAGTTATACTAGTATAGAGTGTTTTTCCAATATTATCTTGCTTTTCCCCCCACAACATTTAATAGTCTTCCTTTTTCCTGCTGATTTAAATGCATGTTCATCACATATTAAATACTCATGTACATTTCAAGACCATCTCTGCATCCCTAACCATCTGTCTTTTAGTTCCAAGCTATTTTACTGACTACAACTTTATGTCTTAACATCTGATAGACTAGAAATGCCATCTCTCAGTCCCAGTGTTCTTCTTTTCCAGTTTTCCTGGCCATTCTTACTTTTCCAGTTGTACTTTAAAATCAGTTTATTTAGTACAAAAATAAACAAAAGTTATCATTAAAATTTTCATTAGGATCACATTAAATTTACACCTGAACTTAGGGAAAATGAACATGTTTAAGATATTAATCCTATGTAAGAACACAGTGTGTCTTTCCACTTGTACTAGTACCCAGTACAGTGTACAATCTTCTGACAATTAATTATATCCTGATTAAAAAAAATAATTACCTTTTTTTTTTTTTTTTGTGGGACCCTCGCCGGTGGCCGGGGAACGAACCAGTGCTGCAGAAGCTGCGGGCAGCCTCGCAGCCCAGCGCTCAACTGCTGCGCCACCAGGGGAGGCCCAAAAAATAATTACTTTTTTAGAAAGGGAGAGAAGAGTGGCAATTAACAGACTTAAGAAAAGCCAAAATCCCACTTTTTACAAAATGAATATATGTAGGTTGTAATAAAGTTCTGCTTGTCAAGATATTTAAAGGTTAAGTAGCCATTAAAATTACCCATTTGTCATTTTGTTGTTTCTTACTAATGTGAAGATGTTACCCTCAGTGAACACAAATGGTTTTCCCAAACACTTCTGGTATCTTTATTATTGAATGTTAATAAAATTCACTAGACTTAAAAATAAAGAAATACATGTTCATTATGAGGAAGGGGAACTCTTCAATAGTTCTATAACCCAGAAAAAAAGCAGTTAATGTTATTTATAACCTGTGGGAGGGGATATGTTTTTCTTAGTTTCATACATTTGTAATTATTATATATATAAAATTTTATATTCCTTTAACCCAATTCCAGATTAGCAGAGAAAGGATAAATTCCTCAATAACCAATGTTTGGATAACTGGCTCTCCATTTGAAAACAAAGTTCCTGCCTCAACAAGTACACAAAACAAAATATGAACGACTTCAGTATGAAAACAAACATATAGGAGAAAGAAACATTAACAATCCAAATACACAGACTGAAATGAGAGAAGATTTCATTGTTAATAACTTATTTGTCAGGTACTATTTACTTAAAATCCAATGAAGACAGTGTGCCCACCTGCTTGGCCATGGCCAGCTTCTTCTGCAGGTATTCTATCTGCTCCTCCACTGCCCGGATCTTCCTCAAAGCATCTTCATCAGCCATTTTCTTGTTCTCTTTTTTCTCCTTATCTTCTAGATCTTTGAGCCTTTGCCTCAGATCTTCCAACTACAGGAGGAAAGGAATCACATAAAACAAAGAAAAGGCTATAAGACAACTTCAAAAATCAATCAATACTGTGCAGGTAAAGGGCCATAACAGTAAAACAGCCTTTACATAATTATGAAAAAGAGATAAATGGTGTGCTAGTATACCATGGCACGTTGTTTTAACACCATTCCATTCTGACATTACCTGCTTCTATGAGCAATGATTTGAAGAGTGCCTTTCTTTAGATTAGTTCTACCCCTTTTATCTAGGTCCCAAATTTTTAATAGAAAAAGATATTCCTCCCTAAAGTAATCAGATAAGAGAATCACTGTAACAGTGATTTATATGGAGGAAGGAGGAATAAAAACCTTGAAAAGGTTAGGTCTACACCAAATAATTCTGATATAATTACTTACATATCCCCAGTAAATCTAACTTCGTAGAGGAGAATCTGGAAATCTCTACATTAGATGGCATTTGAAAGAAAATATTACTGAATTTTGAACACTGACTTTAAAGATAAAGAAACTATATCTTTCAGAAGAGTAAAGGAAAACCCCACAAACGAAGATCCAACCAGAGTAACAGGTAATGGCAGATCAGATTACCTCTGCCTTAGACTTCTTCTCAGCTGCCATTAGCTGAACTTTGTCTCGCTGTTCCTTCGGGGCAGAGCGGTACATATCTAGCAAGAGTTTCATCTCTTTTTGGCTCTCCTGTGCCTTCCTGTGATGAGGGTGGTAATTGGAGGGAAATGACATCATGAGAAAACAAGAGCATCAGAGCAAGGAAATTTTGAATTGAGCAAAGTATTTTACAACAGCTATAGAACACAACTAAAAGACAAAAGTTTTGCAGACTACAAGAGACTTCTAGATATACTCGAAAAGTGCAAAAAAGAAAGTTTTATAAAGGAATCATATCTCCCTTCAAACCAAGTTCTCTAATGTCAAGTTACAAAATAAACATTTATATGGCATGTATTAAATAGGCAAGTTTCTGGGGCCCCACTCTTGAATCTAAAATTCAGGAGATCTGGGATAAGATCCAAGCATATATTAAGTCTCCCAGACGATTCTGTTATCACAAGTAAAAAAAAACAAAAAAACAAAAAAAAACAAAACCTTAAAGAGACAAGAGGAAGGGAAGGAAAAAACTGAAAGTTTGAAATATACTACTAATCCAAAAGTTGGTAACTGAGTGATTAGTCATCAAAGACTAACTCCATCGCTTACTAAATATCAAACCTGTAATTATCAAACTGTAATTTTCTGTACCAAAGAAGTTCACATTTTGAGCACAGTGGTCCCTCAATCCAATCAGCAATAAAGACTCAAACACAATTAATGGGAAGCAAGAAGTAACCAGTTCTACCAGAAGTTACAGGTTACATAACTACCATGAGTTATAGGTTACATAGGGTAAGGGGCAATACATGAGGGGTTTCATTGGGTTACAGGCTGATCGCACTATTTCAATGCCTGTAGAAGTAAATCTTCTAAAGAATCTCTTGTAACGATCTGATATTACACAAACGAATGGTCAGGCAAACTGATCATTACTACTCAAATTATGATACATACTCTACCCAGTATAATTTAAATTACAACTGATGGCAGCAATCTGCCCAAATCCAGTAAGTAGCAGCAATTTCCAATAATTCTCATGAATATTATTTCAACCACCCCTTCCCTTAATCTGGATTCATGAAGAATAAGGCCACTACCATAGGATGTATGAAGACCTGACCACTGAATCAAACTATGCAATAGCCATGTAGGCCATTTGTGCTGTACATCTGATCAAGAGTTGAGAACACACTAATTATACTTTCAGTTACACCCCTAATATTACAACTATCAAGTAATCCATGCTATTGACCAAACGATCCATGCATGAGCTCCTAACCTTAGCTTCTGAGTCAGAAACAGTTACTCTGAACATTGTTCTTACTTGAGTTCAATCTTCAATTGCTTGATAATTTCTGCTTCCTTTTTCCTTCCATCATCATGTTTCCCTTTCTCTTTATCCTTAGCAGAATCTCTCTCTTTTTCTGACTCTTTTAATTTCTGCTTTTCTCGTTCTCTCTCCTTTTCCTTTTCCCGCTCTCTTTCTCGCTCCTTCTCTTTCTCCCTCCTTTCTCGTTCTCGCTCTTCCTCATCCCGTTTGGACTTAATTTCGTTGACTTCCTCCTGCGATGTCTTTGATGAAGAGGTCTGAGCAGCTAAGTCCTCAGCATCTTGTTTTACATCTGCCGGCTCATCCTTGGGGTCCTCAGTACTAGACTGAGACTGCAGGAGGGCACTGCCACTGCGCAGACGTGTCTGGGAGGACAAAGAAAGAATAGATGCACATCACTTACGGTAACTACACTGTTTTCCTCACTTAAAAACAGTTTGACAAAACTTAACAACAAATAACACAGAAGTACTCTACTCCTTTTGGTTACCTTGTTCAGATCAGACTGGGCTTCTCTCAGTTTCCGTTTATACCGCAGGACCTCCCCTTTCAGCTGGTGATTGTGATTCTGAAGGCTACTGATAAGATGTCGCATCTCCCGATTTATGGGGCCTTAAATACAGCAACAGCAATGTTATGAGGAACTGTGATAAGGGCAAGGCACAAGGAGAGAAAGCGCAGAACATATCAGGAACCTCTGAGAAAGATTCCTTCACAAAAGAGAAAATTAGACTAAGTTAAAAAAGCAAACACCCTGGCTCTGAACCAAAATGCACACAGGATTTGATGTTAGGTTCTTCGGGACTTCTGAGCTCCAGTTGGTATTAACAAATCCTAGTGATCATGTTGTGTCTTTCAGGAAGGTATTTTCAGCAGATAAAATGCAGAATGGGAGGAGAAAAATTATACCTGCTTGTTCATTGGCAGCAAGGGTCTGCTCAAATTCTATCCTCAGCATTTCATACTCCTTACGGACCTGGGCCAGGGTATCTTCTAGCTGGATAACTTCGGTCCTCAGTTTCTTATGAAGACTAACCTCATCTCGCTACACAGAGAAAGGAGCCAATCAAAAATTCTTATCAAAATGTGGAAATATCATCATCAGATTTTATTATCATGTCTCCTACATTTGATCTATAAGAACCTAAGAAGAGAAAAAGAAAATGCTAAGAAAAGAAGGAACACTCTGGTAAGTTCCAATTCAATCAATTCAAGCACCAACAGCTATATACACCGACTTGAGAAGTGGCAGAAAACTGAAGAAACAAAGAAATAGCCCCTAACTCTGAAATGTCACAATTTAGTTGAATAACTAAATAATAAAATAGTATATAATGTACAGTAAGGTATCAATATATTAAATTCTATTCATTTGTTAGACACATAGTAAAAGACCAACACAATTCTGGAGGCTACTGGAGGCTCCAATAAATATTACCTTAAGGACTATGGAAGATACAAAAGTGAACTTATGAATAGAAAGTTTCTGCCTTAAAAAAAAAAAAAAAAAAAAGATTTACATTTGCCATTACAGGCTGTAATGGCCAGTAAGCAGTGACACAGCTTCCCTCCACCACGCCTCCATGCATTCAAGGATTCAGCCACACATAAACTATTTATGTATCTGCTGTTCTCACTACAAGGAGGCCCTTCTCCTATTTTTATCTATCAGTAAACTTGTTTTTAGCCTTAAGGTTCATACTTCATTTTGGGGACTGGAATCAGACATATGATCCTTTAGGGCAAAATACACATGAACCAGCAGAGTAAAGACCTGCAGTCACTCTACAAATGTTTGCTGAATAAATAAGATAAATGTTTGCTGAATAAATCAGATTAACTGCACATGAGAGTAAAATTACAAAATCTATGAGGTAGAAAAGCTCATATACAAAGTGACGCTTTTACCTCAATGAGCTCAACCTGGCGCTGGTGGGTCCCCCTGGTGCCATGAAGCAGGGTCCGAGCCTCATCCAAGTGCGCTTTCAACTGCAGGCTCTCATTGTACAGGACAGAGAACTGTGACTGCATGCAGCGATACTCCGGCGTCTCCTTAACCACTTCCTCCACTGCACTCCGCAACTCCACCTTAGGAAGCCCAAGGAAAAGGAAAATCAGAAACAGAATCTAGCATCTGTGTCCTAGACACTAGACAGGTAATGAAATCTAAACTCACTGATGTCCTACACACAGAGACAAGCTTTATGAAGACTGTAGTGCATCTAACCACTCCTCTAGTTATGTAAAATTAAACCCAAATTAAATTAGAACACCCATGATATACTAGCTGGTACCCAAATTCTTTCTCCAAAGAACAATTTTAATTGATATGTGTCAACCTAGATCTAAGGATGACAGAAGACCCTTAAGAAATCTGTCAGATCTAGAAGCAAAGAAGAGTGCTATAAAATTTGTCAAGATGCTTATGCTTTAGAACATAACTGAGGACACTAATCATTAACTTTTATCTTGTTCTCTTTATGCTCTTCCCAAGCAACTGTTGGCTTTAATTACCCAAATACTTTAATGTTTTCTTTCAGTTCAGGCATCATTATTCAAATATTTACCTAGAAACAAATCAAATTAGAAAAGACAGATGGCTGCGACTGAAAGAGGAAGGGGAAGAATTTCAGATTCCATTTTCTTCCACCTCCCTGAGGATCTGAAGAGAGTAAAATTCTAAGGGGCAGATTTGAAAACAAATAGGTTCATTGATTATGTTTCTTGCTCTTTGACAACTACAATCTGCAGAGTCAAATTCTGTGGCCCACATCCAGCAATTTCTGACATAGGAAGGGCCTGCCCTCCAACAGGATGTGCATGCTCCTTGCACACATTTGCTATAAAAGCCCATTTTTAAAATTCATTTTATTTATTTATTTATTTATTTATTTATTTATTTATACAAGAACCAGAGTATAGGCCAGATGCACAGGAGGGTGAGAGGATTCACCAGAGACAGAGAGGGGAACAGAACAGGCAGAATGATGAAATACACTGCTGAGGGGAACAGTGGGCGCGACAGGAGAGGTCTGCAGCGCCATGTGGGACCCTCACCGGCCAGCCAGGTTCAAACCAGCACTGCAGAGGCTGCGGACAGCTTCATAGCGTGGCGCTCACCTGCATGCACCACCAGGGGAGGCCCTGAAATTCATTTTGAGGCCTCACCCTACTTCACCCTACTCCTCATTTCCCCAACAATTCCTCAGTTAAAGCACTTCAATCAGTTTATATGTCTGTTTAGGTTGCATTAAATCCTTTTCATAAAAATGCAGGTAAAAATAAGGAAATATTCAAGTAAATTAAAAGATTTACCAACAAAACTTAACATTTTTCTTTTCCCTCACAAATTATGAGGGCTCACAAGTATGGATGTGAGCTGCTCAGCAAAACATTTCATTGTCCTGCTCCTAAGAGAAGTGCCTCCTACCTTCAGCTTTTCATTTTGCGTCGTGACCTCCTCAAAGTCTTGCCGAAGTTTCTCCAATTCACAGTGACGATTCTGAGCCAACTCTTTGTTCTCTTCAAGCTCTGCATTCATTTCTTCAAACTGGAGAGAAGCAGGAAAATAGTAAAAGAAGAAAAAAGAAAAAGAATTTTTAAATCATTCTCATTCCTAAGCTTCCATCTTCACTGACCCCTCTTCTAGCAAAACCTCACTTCGCTACTTATGAACACAACCAAAGCACCAAGCACAACAGGGTACACCAGGTCGAACAAGGTGTCCTGAGTGAGTCACTTGATTTTACCTTACGGGAATTGATGGTGATTGTGCCTCCATAGAGACTGCTCCCTGCGCCATATACCTTATAACCTTTTGAATTCACCTGCAAAGAAGACAAAGATTATTTGGTGGGAGACCCAAAGATTTCAGTGTGATAACCAAAGTACTTTCAAAGGAGTCCATTTTGCCCCAATTACTACCACCCAAATCCATTCTTTCTGAGTAGACTCCTTAAGATGGTTCTGGCCCTCCAACTATGAATAAAAGCACTTGCCCGTTCCAAGACTTCTGCTAAGTGTCGGTTGAGTCGCTGTTCCCTCTTTCGAATTTTGTCAATATCCCACTGCAAGTCATCAATCATGGACTCCAAGACAGACACTCGGGACTCAGCTGTCTCCACTTTACTCTGCAACTTGGAAAACTACATTCCAAAGACAGGTATTCAGAAAAATATAGCAAAAATAAAAAGACCAAGTTAGAAAATGAACGCCTTATATCACAGGTAGATTCCTTTAACAGTTCTGGGTTTGTTACAACCATGAAAACTGTGTAAGTCTATAAGAACTTAAGAGTCATCAATTTTTCTACCTCTAAGAATCACCATTTCCCTAGATAGACCAAAAACCCATCAGAAAATGTGTATTTTTTGAGACAAAATATCGTTGATCTTACAAGCCAAATATTTCAGGTGATAGAAATTCATACATTCAGAAAAGACATCATTACACCCAACTTTCCATCATTACACCCACAAATAAAGAACCCATAAAGAACAAACAAGAAACTTCCATTCTTTTTTCAAAACTGACTACAGAGCAATCTAGAATCAGATACTTTAAATACAGGAAAACTTTTGTTCTGTGTTTATTTAGGAGCTACACATCAGCTAGTATTATTTAATGCTGTAATTAAACTTGTGTCCAAGTCTGGACTGAAAACCCACATTCCTCAAGTTCTACTTGCCTCATTCTCAGTTGATTTTCTATCAACCTCTTCCTCAGTAACACTGTACATGTTTTTTCTATTTAGGGCAGTTCGTTATATTGGGGGTTTAATATGTTGTTTTATAAAACCCCATATGATATTTCTTCCGAAAGATAAAGATCATATAAGTTCTTTAAACAAAGAGTCAAGGGAAGTATTCAATTATATTCTTCCCTTAATCTTTCCTTAGACTCTGATCTCTCAGAGCTGATTCCTTAAGCCTGCCCTGCATGCTCTTCAATACAGAAATAGGCTTTCTAGAGTAAGCTGATGTCTGAAGCACTCAGATTTCTGAGTCAGTGTCTGTCCAGGTCCTAGAAACTGCTATCTCTTCTTTCTGCTCAAGTACCTCCTGTGACATGGTGTGATGCTTCTCCTGAAGGAGGTCTGTCAGTTCCTGTAGCCTCATGTTCTCTTGTGCGAGAAAGGAATTCAGCTCCTGCACTGCATCCTCCACTATCAGATTATCTGAGGAAGAAGAACTGTACTTTAGCACTGATGGCATCCAATTTTAAAACTGTGTATCCCACCAAAGTATTAACATGGTATCTCATTTTTATTTTCCTTTTATTTTATTTTCCTCAAAGCCTCAAGAAGCAGGCTGGTTTTTATCACCTTCACCTGAGAGATGAAGGACCCACAGATAAGATGAGCTGCTACCCTTGTGCTTCTGTAAAGGCAGACACAGAGCCAAGGTCACCCAATTCCCATCCTTTTCTAAAAATGCTTCAAAAAAAAGAAATGGGGTGGTTCTAGAACTTTATTTTAATAAGCACAAACACCCAACAAACCTACATTTTAAAATTGTAGACAAGAAAAGGTATCTCTAGACAGTGTCAGACTTAACAGCAATAAAAATCTATTTTATAAGGCTATCACAAATTCCTGTTAACTAACACCATCATGGAGCATCTCTCTACTAAGAGAGAAATAAAAGGGAAGAGGAAGCAGAAATCTCCATGTTCAAGTGACCATTACAAAACCATGAAGAATAAATAATAGCATAGATTTATAATATTCTGGAATACTGTGCTAGGGCCTCTCGTAAAATTCAAAAAACAAAATGCACACAGACAGCATTTACAAAGAAGATAAGTACATCTACAAAACTTTTTACGCCAAGTTATTATGTTTAAAATTAGAGTCAAGAGATACAAATGTTAGTAAATGAAACCAGACACTCACTCACAGGGTACAGGCTGCCTTTTAGAGATAATTATCAGGAAGAAAATTTGTGCTCTCAGAGTAGCCCTTGGCATTACTTTTAAAAACAGCACACAGAATAGTTTGGTCCTGTGGTGGTTTGGTGTTTTCAACTTGGATTGCCCATCAGACTTACTTGTGGAACTTTTATAATAAACGTTTCCCTGACCCCTCCCATGCCAACTAAATTAGAATCTCCATGGGCAGGGGTATGCTCAGAACACTTCCAAAGTGATCTGATTCATAACCCACTTTCTCATTGGACTACCACATGGTTCAAAATGTGAAGCACTAATAAAATACTAACAAGTCACAGAAAACGTTAGAGATGAGGATTCTAAGAAATTTAAATAAAAAGTAAGGCCACAGCCGGCAAACTACACATTGGCATACAAAGATGAGTTCTTACTTGTCCCGCTCTTCCCATCTCCTGCTTCTTGCCTCACCTCCACTGTTGAGCTTCCTGGATAAGAGCTCCACTTTTTCTTGCAACTTATCATAGACCATCACAATCTGGGACACTGCTCGACGGGAGGACTCCACACGCTCTTGAAGCTGAGATTCCATCTCCTCACTGGAACTGCTGGCCAAAGTAGCAAGGAAAGAGAAAGCTGGCTCTTGCCCATCCCCTGAAGACACAGGGGGAAAAAAGAAGCCCCCAAAATTATAAAACTGGAAATACCAAAATCGACTTTTTTCTTCAAATGGAGCGTTTCAAAGCAAAGCGCGACTTCCAAAACACAGACAGCCTGTAGTGGTAGGACCCACCAAATACTCGCCTCTCTCTCGGTCATCTTTCCGTTCCTGATTGCTATCAGAGTCCGGTTCTGGTTCAGGCACAACCAGGGCTTTTCGTTCTGTGAGGAGATCTCCCAAGCCTTGCTCCAGATCGTAACGTTTAAGGATGATACGGATGTTTTCATCAAACTAGGGAAAGGCAGGTACAATTATGAAAAAACAACTTTGGGAATAAAGAGATTTACTAAGAACTGAAATGCTCAAATAAAAATCTGAGTAAATAAAACAAGTTTGCTACCTGACTCCAGTACCGGTTGACAATCAGTAGTGAGGCATCATCGGTGGCCTGTCTTCGCTCCAGTTTTTCAATGTGCTCACGGAGCTCATCTTCAATGGCCTGCCGTTGATCCAGCATTTCTGCCAGCTTGCGATTTTTGGTTTGCAATGTTCGAATGTCTAACTCCTCCTGCGCCAGACAAGCAATGTTATTAGTGTCCATAAAGAAATTAGACAATCAGCTGTTATAATAGACAAAGGCAAATAAGTTCATTAGTCATTTCTTTCTCTTTTCTTTTTTTGTTAAAGATTTATTTTTATTTATCCATTCATACAAGAACCAGGGTACAGGCGAGATTCACGGGAAGGTGAGGGGATTCACCTGAGCTAGAGTGGGGAGCAGAACAGGCAGACTAACGAAATACACTGCTGAGGGGAGCAGCAGGCACGACAGGAAAGGTCTGCTGCTCCAGCTAAGTCAGCCTCCCCTGGATCAGCACTACATTAATCTACTAAGCACTGCCCTTCATTCATTCAAGAGCAGCACCTGGTTCTTTCCTGTCGCGGCCCCAGTCAATATATCTGGGTGTCTTTAACATACATGTGAACAAGTACACATGAGGACAAATCATCTAACCCTCTAGCATCTAGAATGCATCTTGAATTCTTTAACTCCAATGACTACCTCCTCCATTGTTTCAGCTATGTATTTCAAAAGCCACATCTTGGATTTCTGCCATTATCTGGACTGTGTCACATCTGAAACTTAAATTTTTTTTTTAAGATTTATTTTTATTTATTTATACACACAAGAACTGGGGTGTAGGCCAGGGGGTGAGAAGATTAACCAGAGACAGAATGGGGAGCAGAACAGGCAGATCTACTGAAATACACTGCTGAGGGGAGCAGTAGGCAAGACAGGAGAGGTCTGCTGTGCCATGTGGCTAGCTCCTTGACCAGAGATTGATCTCATGCTGCAGTGGCTGGCAATAGCTTGATAGTGCTGAGACTTTAACCCCTGCACAACCAGGAAGGCCCCCACATCTGAAACTTTAAATTCTAACTTCGCATCCCTGAATAAAAACTGTATCTGTTTAGCTATTATCATGCTATTACCCCAATATACCAGCTCTCCCAAATTTTGAATGCTCACCTTTCTCCCTCTCAGTCCCTTCTGTCTCCATTGGCTATACCCTATAGTACATTCCCTCAAACACTTGCCTGTTGGGCTGAATTCTCTAATTCTTTTATTCTATCTCTGCAAACAAGCCCCAGTCTGAATACACATCTCTACTCCATTCCTATATCCAGTATGCCAAGACTTTTAGATAAAATCAGTACACCAGGGAGACTTGCGTCTTTATAAAACAAAACCCTAACCTGAACAGATCCTAGAATTTGTCCAGAAACATTTCTTTCTTTAACAAGTGAGCTATGTCCTAATCTCTGCTGAGACAGGATCAAACTCTCCCAACTCATCAAGAGGACTTTGCTTCTTATAGAAGCCACTGCATAGAAAGCTCTTCAATTCCCCATTGACCTGCTCACACAACTTATCACCCTATGCACACATTTTTAAAACTTCAATTTGTGCTCATGATCCAGTTCTCTTCTATATCTGCAACAATGTCACTCTAAGATTTTCCAACTGTACACTTTACTAATACTGTTAGTAAACATAGCCTCATCCTCTTCTCTGAGCACTGCCTGCCCCTTCCTGCTCTAACTGAAACCTGGAGGAGACACTGTTTTCCTGCAGGTTTCTCCAGTGGTGGTTGTTTCTCTCCCACAACCTTTAAAGCCCTGGGCCTGGAATTAGGTGGGTATCCTCCTTGTTTTCCAATGGCACTTCCCAGGCCATTATCCACTTAGTTCCCTAAAATTGCCGAGCTTTGCAGCTCAAGCTGCTGGGCTGTTCCGCCTGTAACCTGCCTGGCTAACTTGTCTGTAAAGGCCGAGGTCACTTCCCCACATGTCCTGAAGATTTAGCACCTACTTTATTATCACTCTCTCCAATACTATTCCTGTCATGGTTCTGAATGACTTCAATGCCCACACAGATGATCTTTCCTATAGCTTGGATCATCAAGTTGTAGATCTCTTCTCTAATCCTCTTGTTCTCTACCTCCTTCAGCCACCAGACTTGGTGTTTTATTTTACTTCAATACCTCTCCATAGCATTGGCCTTACTCTTTTTCCTTATCCCTCTCATCTCATATTCTTTTTTTTTCTTTTTCATCTCATATTCTTTTTTTTTTTAACTTTTTTTTTAATAGAGGCATGTTTTATTTATTTATTTGTTTGTTTGTTTGTTTGTTTGTTTCTTTATACATGCACTGGGTACAGTCAGAAGCACGGGAGGGTGAGAGAATTCACCAGAGTCAGAGGGGGAGCAGAGCAGGCAGAAGGACCAAAGTACACTGCTGAGGGGAGCAGCGGGCGGCAGGAGAGGTCTGCGCGCCATGTGGGACCCTCCTCCGGTGGCCGGGGAGCAGCCGGGGATCGAACCGGTGCCACAGAGGCCACGGGCAGCTTTGCAACCCAGCGCTCAACCACTGCACCACCGGGAAGGCCCCACATCTCATATTCTTTTAAGCTCACTGCAATCAAGTTTCCATCTCCACCACTAAAACATGGTTCTTGTCAAGTTACCGAAGAGCATTTTATTGCTAGATCTAATGTCTCAATTCTCCCCTTACTGAACCCACCTGCAGCATTTAATCAACTCCTTCTTGAAATGCTTTCTTCATATGTTTCTGGGACTCCACTCTCTCATTCTCCTCCTAGATCACATATTTCCCCTCTTTTTTGGGCTCTTTGGCCAGTCTCTTCTCAGCTTGACATGAAAACTCTGCATGCTGTTCTCAGACCTCCTCTTTATGCTCAGTTCTTAGGGACAACCTCTAGCCTTATGGATTTAAATATCACCTACAAAATGGTTCACACATGTATAGCTTTGCCAAGACCTCTTCGCAGACTGCAGATTACTACATACAACTAACTACTCACTCAGAGGTTTAATAAATACCTCAGACTTGTATGCCCAAAGCCAAACTCACAATTTATCTTCCACAGCTTCCAAAAATATGCTCTGTTCATATCCCTCCTCAGCTCAGTAAATGGAAACTCATTATTTCCAAAATCCTGGGATCATTTTGTATTTGCATCATCCAGTCCATCAGGAAATATTATCAACACTATATCTACAGTGGTCCAAGTCACTATGATCCCTCATCAAAATTACTGCATCGGCCTCCAATAGCACTTTAGTGCCCGGTACCAAGTCCTGATGGCCTGCCAGATTTCAGCACAGTTCCAGTGGACAGCTCCATTCACAGTCTGTGTCCCCACTTGAAGCGCACTTTGGAGTCTCCTAGTTTTGTATTCCAGTCTCAGCTGGGTCACTACAGCAACCTCAAAGTGCAGAGGAGGGGTTAATGCCTTCAAGGATAATTTTCAACCAACCGGAGTAGGAATCACTGATACGTGCCCAGCTGCCCACCCTTAGAGATGGTGTGGAGAGGAAAGAGATAGAAAAGGAGCAAGAGAACAATTCCACAAGGGCAATTCCTGCTAAGAACCCTTGATCATCTACAGTCTGTTCTCAAAAAATAGGTCAGAGCATTCTACTCCCCTGCTTAAGGACCCTGCAATGGCTCCCCACTGCCCTCTGGCTGACGTCCTAATTGGGATGTGTGCTTCCCTTAGAGCAAGCGGTTATCCCTATAAACAACATTACCTCATGCTACTCTAACAATCTGATTCCTTGTTAGTGCCACCCTACAAACTGAAGTCCAGGGGCTAATCCCAATGCAAAGCGCAGTGTTGGGCAAATAACAGATACTCAACAAATATATATATAAATTGAATGAATAAATGTCCTTGGGATGCTAAGACAAAAAAATTCCCTGTACCAGCGTGGTGTAACTGAACCCCAAAAGGTCTCAGAAATGATATTTCATCAACAATTTACTCGGAATTTCCTATTATTCTTTCTGATCCTCCATCTCAAAACAAGTTACAGGTGTGGGTTTGTAAGCTAAATAAATATAAAACACTTTAACACCCTATCCCCATGGCAGAATTCTAAAACACACATCAGATTCAGATCAAAACCTAGCATAGTGAGGTTCTGATGACTAATAGACTTATTACTATGACTTTGGGGGCATAACAGTCTAATTTAACTGTTAACTCTACAAGAACAAGGACAATATCTATTTTATTCGCCAACTTGTTCATGCTGTTTAGCCCAAGAATAATTTTTAATAGCTCACATACATTGAATACATGTTAAAGATAATATTTAATATTTAACAAGGACTGTCATTTTACTGTCCAGACCCAAAGAGGTAGGTACTGTAATTACATTTCACAGACAAGGAAACAAGAGGCCCAGAGAGAGTAACGAGAAGCCACCAAGCTGAGGGTCAACTCCAGGCAGTCTGACCTCTCCAATACACTCTCAATGATTTTGCTACACTGCCTCTTAGTGCTGGGACCAAACTTGCAGTGAATGAAGAATGAATATATAGCTTTCTTCTGCTAAATAACTGTAATCAATGCTTTATCAGGGACCAGGCTCAAAAGAATAAAACCACACCTTTGGAAATGCAGGTCAAATATCAATATATCTCTTCCTCAGAGCTGAGTACTACATCATTTCACCTACTTGGGTCCCTCTTCTTTTCAAGTTGACTCCTCATACTCCAAAAGACTCTCACTAATTCTTACTTTCAGGTTACAGGCAAAAGAAGAAAAGTTCACTCTCAGCACATTGTTTCCACATACCGTTGAAGAGACACCACCTAGCTTAATTGTTTCCACCGTGGTCCCTGAATCTTCAACAGCTGTCTTCTTCTCTGGTGGCATGGAGGTGCCAGGTTCTCCAGCTGCTCTTTTATTTCCAATACCTGACATCTTGACACAAGATGTTTTCCTGGAGGGAAAAGGGGCAGAAACTGAGGTTACATATGCTAAGAGATCAGCAAGAAAGAAACCAGCTAGGATGTAAAAATTAGCAACTTTCCCAGCACACCCTATAGCCTGGATACATTAACTCCACACTAAGCAACATAATCCCCAAATTCCTCTTAAAAAGAAAAAAGTAAATTGTGGAGTAAGAATCAGAGCTCAACTGACATGACTACAAATCTCCAAATAGGATATTAATATGGAATAAGACAATGAGCAGAATGTGAAAAGACCAAGACAATTTTCAGAAACCTCACTTCCTGAAATGCCAAAATCAGAAATACAGAAATTAATTCTATAATACTGGAAGAATCACAGCTGAAAGAGAGCTGGGAGATGGACACCTCATTTATCATCTCTAAGCCTGTGTCCTAAACCAGCAATAACAACAGACATGCTTCCTATGCCACTTAGAGGGAATGAATAAGCATAAAAAAAAAAAAACGCAGCATAATGCCTAGCATTAAGTACTCAGAAATGCTAGCTCTCCTTTTCATATCTGCAGCATTTTTCCTTTTTTCAAACACTCCCCCATGAGTCTCTGCAACCCTAGGGAAGCTGGACTTAATTCCACAGTCAAGTATCTACCTCTTCAGGTGCCGTGTCGCCTTGAAGCAGTGAGTTCTCCAAGAGCTTCGGTTTCCTTTTACGATGGAAGCGAATAAATATCTTGCAGCCCCACCAGGACCCCAGGATTTCAGAGCTCAAAGGAGGAGGTGTGGATGCTAAAGCACTTTGCTACTTTTGGAAGCAGCTCTGCCATGACGGAGACCACGCACGACTCTGCTTCCAATTCAAGCTCCAGGAGAGCGGTTACCGGTGGCAGCAACGTTAGACGTAGCCTGGAGAGAGAGAAGACGGCGGCGGACAGGGCCGCAATCCCACTCGCGAGGAGCCAAGGACCCCAGCCTCCGGCGCGGCCAACCTCAGGCCCGGGAGAGGAAGGCCACGGAACTGAGAGGATGGAGGTTTCCGAGGCCCCGCACAGTCCGGTCGCGCCAAGCCTCGGCGGGTATCTAACCTGGGTTCCCTCGACTCGCGCCCCCGGGGAGCGGAACTCCCGGCAGTTGTGCGCCAAGGTCCGCTCAGTCCCCCGCCTCACCCAGACGCGCAGGCGAAGACCCCGCGAAGGTTTCGGGAGGCAGGACCCGGGACAGGAAGAAGGGGGGAAACAGGAAGTCGCTGCAACCCGAACGTGACGCCAGAGACCCAGCCGGGCGGAAGTGACGCGCCGCCTCGGGGGACGCCATGCTCCCAGGAGGCAGCGCCGTTGCCGTGGCAACGCCCGGCGGTTGAAAGGCGACTCCAGTAGACGCGATTCTCGCGGAGTCTGTAGGGACAGCATCTGGTTTCTTTGGCTGGTTTGTTCCCTTCGCCACTGCAGCCCGGTTTCTCTAGGATACAGCGCCTTGTTCTGTTGCCTGTTACTGGGCCGGCCGTGAGTCGTTGAGACTGCTGATTGGCTGACTGTGCCGTCCATCTCCGGAGCTGGCCTCAGAAACCTCCGGAAATTGTTACTCGGAGCCTGTTTGGGCTAAAAGGGCGGGCTCTGAAGGAAATCCCAAAGCGTTGATGATTTCAGGGCTGGTACATTTTTCCTACCGGGAACTATATAAGGCTCTGCCTACGCATTAGAATAACTTGGGGGAGTTTTTTAAATTTTTCTAGAGTAGGACCTGGGCATCGGCTCTTTTTAAAGCTTTTCCTCAACCCTCGTCCACTCCAGAGAATCTGACGGGCGAACAGAATTGACAACGACCGCTTTTTTGTTTTGTTTTGTTTTTTAAAATATTTTTTTTTTTATTTATACAAGAACCGGGGTACAGGCCAGAGATTCGGAGCGTGAGAGGATTCACCAGAGACAGTGGGGAACAGAACAGGCAGACTGATGAAATATACTGCTGAGGAGAGCAGCGGGCGAGACAGGAGAGGTCTGTTGCACCATATATGTATCTCCCTGGCTGGCTGGGAATCGAACCCGCGCTGCAGAGGCTTTGGACAGCTTCAGAGTGCAGCGCTCAACCGCCTGCGCCACCAAGGAGGCCCGACAACTGCTGTTTTTGTATTTCTTTGGAACAAGATATTGACGAGGAAAAAGATAAGAAATACAAATCAATAAGTTTCTGATAGTAACACAAGTCTGTTTTAAGCTAATAAGTATTCATATTAAGCAATAACAAGCTATTTCCTGCTCAGCTAAACTAACTTATGCGTTTTCATGATAAAACAGTGATCTATCAAGAAAGAGCTGTGTGCCTTGCAGAACTGAAAAGTTACCTGATGACGTCAGGGAGGTGACAGAAGTGGAAGAACGATTGCTCTATCTATAAAATGAAAAAAGAAATGTTGGCATCTTTGAGTAAAAGATCAAACCTAATCCACTCTGAATTTCTTCTGTTCTAGGAAAACACTGGTCCTTGTATTCTCCTAACCTCTGGGTCTTAAGCTGTAGATGAAGGTGAACAATGGGAAACCAAGTGCATTAGGCTGCCTGAAACTAGACCACCTTGCCTAATCTGGAAGGAAGTATCTAACTCCAAATAGACTTCACCAAACTGTATTATGTTTGGTGAAGCAGAAGCCTAAGAATCCTGTTTGGAGAGCCACCCACTGAAAAGCATTGCATGAGACCCCAACTCATTCTTTGATCATCCTTTGGCTGCTTTACTCAGGGCAAGCCTTGCCTCTAAAACCACTGGATGGAAGCAAAGCTTCTTCTAGTGCAAAGTCTATAAACTACAGGTTCACAGGCTTTATTTGACCAATGGATATGCTTTGTTTATTTTTAACCATATTAGGTATCCTTTATGGTTAATAACAAAAAATGTACTTTTTAACATTTATTCTTTTAAAAGGTTTATTTATACAAGAACCGGGGTACAGGCCGGAAGTGCAGGAGGGTGAGAGGATTCACCAGAGACAGGGCAGGTAACAGAACAGGCAGAATGACTGAAATACACTGCTGAGGGGAGCAACGGGTGAGACAGGAGAGGCCTGCCACACCATGTGGGTTGCTCTGCTGCCGGCGGGGATTGAACCCACACTGCAGAGGCTGTGGGCAGCTTCACAGTGCTGCACGCAACCACATGTGCCACCAGGGAGGCCCTGTACTTGTTAACATTTAAAATATGGGTATTTTATACAAGAATCCAAATTGTCAACTTCTCTTGAAAATGCTGAAGACCTAACACTAGCCTACTCTTCCTGCCTTTTCACATTGCCAAGAGCCATGTAGCCTTCCTCTTTTATTCATGGGCCATGTTATTCCTGTTTATCATAGTCGCCACTATCACTCCCTAACAGTGAAGTTTCATTTACATATTGTCATCCATGTGCTGTGTTGTGTGTGATAAACCAACCACTGACTATAGGTGGATACTGTACCCAGTATCTATTCCCTCACTTTCACTTTTAACAGAACAGAACCAAGATTTTATTCATATTTCCATATAGGCCCCATATGTCTTAGGGGAATCTGAGTTCAATTTCATATCCAAGGATTGTCCTAATATAAATTGTAAGTCCCCACCTCCCAAAGAACAAACTCCTACTCTTAACAATGAACAGGTTAATCAGGATGAGTTGCTTGGCACACTAAGACTAAAGTTTTCTTCTGAGTTTGTTGTGTAAGGCTTGAAGCAGGAACGACCCAAATTGATGATGAAGACAACATAGAGGTGGGCAGAGTTGAGAGAATCTCAGGGAAATGGAGCCGAAAAATCAGTTAGGTTATCCCTAACTTCAACACACACTTCAGTATGCTAGTGTAGATATCGAGAAGAAACCTTTATAGACCTTTTCAACTCTCACCAGGTAGATAATCATCTTCTCCAGCTACTGGTGAAAAAATTTTTGAAGGCCCCACACAGCCATCTGACATCTTCCTCAAAGCTTGTTCTAATCCAAAAAGGTAGCCTCATTCTAGAGAATTAGGGAAATGGAATAGATAAGGAAGCCAGAAAATTTCCTCATTCACCACATTCTCCATTTCTAATCAGCCATCACCTGTTCAACATCTTAATCAAGAAAAAAGAATAACCCTGGAAAAATAAGTTTGGCCCTTTTTAAAAGATCACAGTACTGCATTTGCTGTGATAAAGAAGAGTTAATATTTTATATCACTTATCTTTCAAAACATTGTCTCCTATTTTAAGTAACATGTTAGCAATACCTTTTTTTAAAAGAGAAAACAGAACATTTAATTATCTTTTCCAAGTCACTTAGCGTTTGTCCAAGGCCCCACATCTTACGCTTTGCAGCCCATCTTCATTACACAGTTCTGCCTCAAGGTGGCAGTAGGCAACATGCCTCCATCCTCAGTTCGGAGCTTGGTTTGTGGCTTACTGTACTAACCCTTATTCATGTCTTCACCCTAAACCTTAGAAAGCTAGGCAAGCACTTAGAGCGGGCTTAATGTGCTCATAAAAGACAAAATTAAGGTACTTGGGGTTTTTAACAATTTTTTCCTATGCTTCCTGAAAATGTTTTGCTCTAAGATTGTTGTTGAACTCCATGCATTCCAGTATTCCATGAGCTCTGGCCTGGGTTATTTGTGTGCTAAAGATAATTTTAGAAGTACCTTATTTGCCCTCTCAGGGCTGACCGGAATTGAGGCAGGGAAGCCAGTCTTCATACCCTTGATTCAGTCAGTCACTGGACGTGGCTACCAGGGGCCTGGGAAGGGGGCTGGAGCTTGAGGAGGTGGCTTTCTTCAATGAAGGGCAAACTCTGGAGGGAACTCAGCTGCGTGCTATTGGCATCCAACAGGCCCAACCACTGGGGGAAATGAGTTTTTCAGTTATAAAGTTTTTCAGTTTTAAAGCCAGAGGACAGAGATGGTCCTTACTGGAGGTCCTAAAGCTGTGAAAGAGGAGGAAAAGTTGCCTTATGGTCTTGCTAAGAGACATAGGGGCCTGGGGCTCCCACCTGAGTTGCTGAAAGGTGATCCTGTGCCCAGCACACACAAATTCCCGTTTCCCTTTCAGTTGGTGGTTTGTAAAACTATTTTACCTATGAGTTATGGGCTCTGTTTTTATTCCAGCGGAGAGGAGACTGGAAGGAGAGTCCCTTTCCCAATACTTTTAATAACCCAGTGCTGGGCCTCCCAGGTGGCATAGCATGGTTGAGCACAGTGCGGGGTAGCTGTCTGCTGCCTCTGCAGTACAGGTTCAATGGCCGGCCAGCCAGGGAGATACCCACATGGCGCAGCAGACCTCTCCTGCCGGGCCCGCTGCTCCCCTTAGCAGTGTTTTCGGTCCATCTGCCTGTTCTGCTCCCCGCTCTGTCTCTGGTGAATTCTCTCACCCTCCCGCGCCTCTGGCCTGTACCCCAGTTCTTGTATAAATAAAATAAATCTTTTAAAAAAAAAAAAAACCCAGTGCTATCAACTGAATTATGTCCTCCCGAAGTTCAGATGTTGTAATGGCATTAGGAGATAGGACTTTGGGGAGATAATTAGATTTAGATGATTTAGATGAGTCATGAGGATGGTACTGCATGGCGGCATTAGTGACCTTATAAGAATAGACACCAGCTCTCTCTGCTGTGTGAGGACACAGAAGGCCAGAGTCTTGCAACCAGGAAATGGCACTCACCATGAACCCAAATAGCCAGGACCTTGATCTTGGACTTCAAGCCCCAGAACTGTGAGAAAAAAATGCCTGTTGTTTATGTTATCCTATCTGTGGCATTTTGTTACAGCAACCCTCACAAACTAATACAGCCAAGGTTATCAGTCTTGTTAATATGTCCTATATAATTAAAAATGTCTATTAGATTTAATTAGCTTGGGTTTCATTATGTATGTGGTTGAATGTGTTAAAAAGAATATTGGATGTTTGCATCTCCCATGGCTTTTCTATGGAAAATCTTTGTTTAATTTCCCATTGGATTGTTTTATTCTTCTAATGCATTTTCAGGAAGTCTTCATATATTACAGAGTAACCTCTAGTATCTTATTTATGTGACCAATATTTTCTCCAGCCTTTTCCTTTATTTCCCTTTTGCTAAATTTTTGTTTTCTTTACTGTTACTTGTTTACTATAAGGGAGTTTAAAATTGTTATGTCAAATGTGTCAGTATTTTCTTTGGGTATCATCATAAAAGGAAAAGTATTAATTCCAAAATAATAAAAATGT